GCTCCCCCCCCCCCATAACTTGTTTTTTTCTTTTTTGTTTAAAGCTGACTGCCCCCCGCCCGAAAAATAACTTTCTGGCCATTTTTTGTACATTTCTCCTCCTGGTGCTGTAAGCTATTCATGAGCAGCTGGAGAATTTCAGTTTTCCCCTGCAGAATATTCAGTGAAATGGCCTTCCCAGGTTTTCAAAACCTTCCATTAATTGTGGCCAAAGCTGTGGATCCAGCTTTAGCATTTATTCATATTATTTTAATATTTATTAACAATGGGGTTGAGCTCTGCTTCTTCCCGTCTTCTTCTCTTATCTCATTGCATCCGTCATTGACCAATATAAGCAACCAATAGAGTTTCAGTTAACATAAAGTGTGTCCGAATTTTCCTCAGAAGAGTATTTTCTTAAAGGGGGGAAAAACTGGTTGAGGAGTTTCACTTCTCCCATCCAAGATTATTGATCAGAATATCTGCCCCCCCCCCCCCATGCTAGAACACACAAAGAAAGTAGAGAATTTTGGGAGGCATTTTACTTTAGTCCTGATTTTATTATATCATTTTTAATACATTGTTTAAAGCTTATTGCTACTGAGGGGTGCCTGGGCCCATTCCTTTGAGGTTTTAAGTGAGTGATTAAGGCACATCTTTTTTGGTGGGTGTTTCAAGGAGGAGGGATCTGACTGCAGCTGCTGCTAGTAATTGTAATTTTTAACGTATTTTTATATGTTTGCCTTGTTGTAAACCTCCTTATGGCTTATGGAAATTGAGGGTATATAAATCATCAAATAAAATAGATGAACAAAATATTAATATATATATACTGCTTTGAGATGTTCACATAAAAAGTGATACGTAAATACCTTCAATCAATCAATCAATCAATCAATCAATCAATGGTGTCTAGAATGGTGCACAGTGGATTTTTAAAATGAGTTTTCACTCATATAAGTCCAAAGTTGCAATGTGAAGCAGGAAAGCCCAGACCTCAGTGATAATTAGGCCTAATCGTCCTTGTTTATCCTTTACATTTTAATTGATTGTTTTATTTGTTGCCTCTTATTAAGCAATAACAGTTAATGTGGAAAGCATTGATGGTTGTATTATTATTGTTGTTGTTATTGTTATTAATAAAATAAGTAATAGTTTTGATCTGCTTATGATAGATGGGTAACATTATGGAGTGCCTATCATTCCAGCTGTAGATGCATTGTAAAGCATAGCAGACCAGCAGCAGTAAGGAATGTGTAATGATAGCATGACTGTTTGAACTGGAAACAAGGCTAAAACTAGGACTAACCAGTAGCTTCTAGATCAAAGAGCATGTAAACTGGATACCAGATCAAACCATTGGTTCATCTCACACAATATTGTCTACGTTGTCTGGCAGCAAATCTCTAGGACTTCAGACCAGAGCAGTTGTGGATATTAAGTCCTGTCTGTTGTGGGGGCCCATAGTACCTTGAGGAAGACTCAAAGGAGGACAAGGTACAGGTTGCACTAGCCAGGGGACAACCCTTGGTATCTTATCCTATGCCCTCACTACTGGGAGTGGGGGGCAGCTAGCCGTACCATTGACCTCAGACAAGTGCCTAACAGCACCTCCATCTCCCTGACCCCAAAGAATTCAACAGATGCAGAATCAGGCAAGGGTGCTTTAAAAACCAGAGCCAGGTCCTCCATGGTGGTGGAGCCTGCTACTAAAAAGCCATTATCAGTCTATGTAAGGTTTCTTGAGCTACTGCTGAGACAACATCTCTCTCTAGCTCAGCAAGTAGGAACTATCCATGGTCCTGATTTCTGCCTTAATTGTGGTGTGACTTGCTCTTGCCTTGCCTTGATCTGGCTTTGCTGGATACAACCTTCCCCAAAAGACTCTGTCTTACTGCTTCCACTTCCTTTGTGAGTTCCAAGCCACATTGGAACAGAATACTGCCTCTCTAAAGCAGCCACATTCAGTTTATGTTGCATGTTCTCATAAACTGCATAGGATTAAAACACAGCATGCATAGTGGTGTATACTATTTATTATATATTTATTACATTTATACCTGACTTTTCTTCTAAGGTGCTGAAGTTTCCTTTCTTCATTTTATCTTCCCAGCAATCTAGTGAGGTAGATTAGACAGAGAGAAAGTGACTGCTCTGAGCTCACTTCATGACTGAGTGAGGATTTAAATATCAGCTTCTCCAAATCTAGAAGGATATTTTAACTGCAATATCACACTCACTCTAGACTAGATTACTGTAAAAGTTGACTGGATGGTATGAACTTAAAAGTTTTTGTCATAAGTAGAATTGTTCAGCTGAGTGCCCAGTGATCTATGCAACGTAATGAAACACTAGATCTTTGCTCTACATGGTAAGCCATGTTGGAACTTGCAGCAGGTGGGTATAAAAATCAGTTTGCTATTATGCTTGGCCAAGAAGGACGGGGTTACCAAGCTTACGGGAAGGAGACATTGGCAACTGATGATATTGGTAAAGAAACATCACCTTGGAGCACAGTATCAAGGAAACATGTTCTCCTTGTTCTTCATCCATGGAAATCTCCATGTTGGTGGCTACTTCCTGAGATGGTCCAAAGAAGAGATCTAACACATTCCCATGACCCTTGATGTCTCATAGCTCCTCCTCTGATGCAGAAGTGTCCAAGTCTAGGTTCCGAGCCATGGTAGTTACAAATAACAAGACTTCTCCTTGGCTTCCAATTGTTGGAATACTTTACCAGCACCAACTACCATTGTTATTTCACAAGGGCTTATGCTGATGAAGTGCGCATAGTGGTCTAATGTTGCTGCCAGATCCATGTCATGTTCAGAAATGAGTCCTACGAGGTGGTGGCGACGATCTCGCTCCATGCTTGCAAGTTGCGAACTTCAGACTAGTAAGATGGCTGGGAAAATGCAAAACTGAAAGCCAAGTGTTAGGAAGAGCACTCTGTGTTTCATAAGAAGATGGTGCTATCAATGCAACTGACAATAGGGAGCGTGGAGGCACATTTGAGTCGTCTCTCTCTTTCTCTCCTCACCCCCCCCCCCATCCTCCAGTTCCAGACTTGAATTGTGAAGGAATGTCAGGAGCTTTCCAAGTTTCCGCTGCGTAGCAGCACAGCTTTTCGCCTCCTTTTGTTCTGCCCACTGTGCCCATTTTTAAATATTCAAACAAAGCTCCATAAACCGCTAGTTACACCATAATACCAGCTTGTGTTTACGTTTTCAGCTCTCCAGATCACGATCCCATTGAGTGCACATAGAGCGAGTGCTCGTGAGTATGCGCCCATTTACCATCAGGAGAAATCAGACTGTAAACACAAGCTGGTATTTTGGTGGGAGCGCACTAATATGGCGGCTGGGAGGGTCAGGAGTGAAAGGTCAATGATAGGTTCAGAAATTCCTTGCTTTTTTCAGGCTGAGTGATGCTGCTTGTGTAGTAGCTGTTATTTTTCACTCTCATCCAAATAGGAGACACTCAGCTGTTATAAAGCAACAAGGCCTAGTTAGCATGGTTTCTTTTAAGGCAACAGGAGATGAATCTCCTAAGGCAACTGATAGGAACGTTATTGAAAATATGTCAAGCAAGACTGGATCTGAGATGAGGATTAAAAAAAAAAAAAGCAACACATTATGAGTTGGACTAGGCGGCCTTAAAAGTCTTGGTCACAAGTCAGAGAATGGCTGAACAAACTGATTATGAAGACTTACAAAAGAAAGAAAAAAGACCACATACCCTTTCGCCACATGGGAAACCAGTTTTGAAATTGGGTGAGTACAAAAGGCAGCTTCCAATGTGTGTGTCAAATGTCCCACCAGGTGGGAATAGGACCTCTAAAGGAGCTCTCTCGATTGCAGGCCATCTTCTTCCCCCTACTTCCTGTGAAAGACTTTCTTTTTATAATATTCAATTGGAGATATCTGAGCACAGCTTAAAAATAAGTCATTTGGAGAAAAAAGAAGCTACCAAATTAACTCTGTGGAAGCTATTTAAATCTTGAAGATTTGCGTTGAGCTCCTGTAAATCTAAATAAAACAATATAAAACATTTGATCCTGAAAAATGGAGAGCTAAGCTAACTGAGCTATGATGGCCCTGGTTAGATGTCTGTGAGAAGTTCCCAAAATAGCTTTCTTCATTTAGATAATCTTTTAATAGAATTACATCATTTCAGTCACAAAATGATCAAGAACAGTCTACTGTAGCCCACTAGCAGAAAACATCATTAAGGAACAAAGAAGTAATGAGCAAGTTGTATCTCATGAGCTAAATATATCTCACTGAAATAATGTTATCCCTTCCATGTATTTATATAAACAAGTCATATATGGGCAAAGATCACAAAGATCTTTGGGAAATATTTTGACACTGACGACTTGCAATATGTATTCCTTAAGTGTTGATGCTCTTGAAGCTGTAAGTAGGGTCTTCCTTGCCTTGAAAATAAAGTTGATGTATCTCCAAGGAGAGAGACACAGGTACAAATTATCCATGTGATTGACTTCAATATACCAGGTGGATTGAATAATTCTCCTTCATAATGGGTTGACACTTAACATTGTTTGCAACAATGATCATTTTCAGTGTGATTTAATAGCTTACTTCTTACCTGAAAAGATAATATTCCTGAGGACACCACGTTTCTACATAAATGGCTTATGCTATTATAAATAAGGAGATGTAATGCAATTACTACAAATTATATGACTGTTAACACTTATAATGAAACCAAAAAGGGTGGAAATTACTCAACTATCATGTAATACCAAACTCAGGGTTTCTGTATGAATATTGTTTTAGGGCACCTATTGCAATTGCCTAGATAAGTATGATGTGTCAAATTGAAGACTACATTGAACAGATCAGTGGGAAATTTGTAGCTTGGCTAACTGGCCAAAAAAATAATAATTCACAGGCAGTAAGAAAAAGGGCAAAATCTGAGTTAAACATAGATTGAATGTCAACTGTTGCTCTGTGAGTCCTTCCAATTGACTGAGCCTCTATGATGTCATAAAAGCCCGGAAGGTGGATATGAAGCCAGAAGTTTGTGGGATGTCTGGCTAGAAATTAGTCTTGTTGAGTTCAGCAGGGCTTCCTCCCAGATAAATGGATTTAGGATTGCAGCTTTAGAGAACGAGAGTACACCAGAGAATTATGGATCTGAGGACAAGAAACACAGGCAAAAATGGGAAGTAGATATCCCAAAGAAAGTATGGTGGAAAGGAAAGAATGGGTAGAGGAGATGGTGAGGATACAGATGTGTGTTTCTTGGGAAGCAGAGTAAAGAAATGAGGAGGCCTGAATTTCCAGTGTGATCCAATGTTCCATGAGTCTTCACATCAACCCCTGCTGGTTAGTGACATTTGTGGGGGAACTGGACATGGCTCTGTTCAGATGCATGCCTCAAAACGTGTGCATGTACTGTTGGTGAAAAGGGTGTAATAAAGTAATGATGGCATTATTTAGAATAAACTAATTAGAATGAAATGTGTCCATAAATGGCATTAGGCTCCCACTTGTACCTTCTATTATGAAACATGCTCCTGAGAAACAGCCCCCTCCATGCTTTTTCTGTCCAAATTACAGCATTGCCTATACTGGATCTGGGATGGAACCGTTAGGCTTCCAGATGAGCTATTTACTGTGGAATCACCATGCCCCAATCACACACACACACACCAGGATGTGGCAAATAATGCCATGATTCATATGTAATCCTTCTGCATCTCTTCATTACAGGGCAGTTTTGTTCCTTGCTGACTGCTGATTTGTCCCTATCTATACATATACATGTACATATTCACTGATTCTCTGTGCCTGAAGCAGTTTAGTCATGCTGGCCACATAACCCAGAAAGCTGTCTGTGGACAGACGCCGGCTCCCTCAACCTGAAGACTTAATCGTCCAGGGGTACTTTACCTTTACCTTATCCAAAAAATCAAGGCACATGCAGCTTCAAATCCACATTCAACTCCCATGTGAATGAGCCCATAATCACCCCAGATTCCTCCCAGACCAGAACACAAATGGTTGAAAGTATAAAAAGATATTTCTTTAAGGAATGTAACATTCAGGACAAGTAGTCTTAATATTCAGAACTCTTTAGTGGCGGCTTCCTTATCTAAAGTAACTTTCTTAAGTTTCAGAACAGCTAGGCTCTTTCAAAGGCTCTAACTGTTCTCCCTGATCTCACTCTCCCTTGTCCCTTCCTGTCCCTGTTGCAGGCACAATTGCCACTCACTGTCATTTTCCAACAGAGACTCTACCAGCCGTTCTCCCCAACTTTTCATTCCACTCCCCTAACGACAATGATTCTCCTACTAGCTCTCCCCTGATCCATATTTTAGAAGCCTTCCGTCTATTACCACTTACAAAGATTTAAAAATAAAAGGAGGGCTTTCCAAAAGTGCATGCAGGCGACACTGCAGAACTAAAAAGAGCATCCCCATTTCAAAAGGGTTGTAACTCAGTGACAGAGCACGTGCTTTTACAGGTTCAACTCTTTGGGTCTCCAGATACGGCGGGGGGGACGACTCCCTGCCTGAAACCCTGGAAAGTCACTGCCTGTCACTGCTGACAATATTCCTAGATGCAAAACCAGAGCTGAGAAGCTATAGGGCTTTTCAGAGTCACAGATGCAATGTGACTACACTAAATTCATTTCTTTGGTGACATGAGAGACTCCAGCACATGCTGATCATTCATGTAATCAGATGTTCAAGTAAATGTGAATGTTATTCGCATGAGGTCATGAGATTTACATGGTGGGCACACAACAAGCTTGGCTAACACGTTCCATATGCCAGAGCAGCAAAACAGACAAAATGTGCAGGGGCTTCTTATCCCTTACACATAAGATCATACCCTGATCTTATGTAGAATTAATTAAGAATGTTTATTTCCCCTCTTCATCTTGGTGGTGTCAGTGCTCAGTCAGGCATGAATCTGTTATCCCAAACCTCTTTTCCTACAGAATGTTAAACACTGCTTTGGATTTCCCAAATATAATCCAGAGAATTATTGGCTTGTGTGCATCAGATTTAACAGGAATAATGGCTCATGGATTCCTCTAAGTTTTGTTTCAGGATACTTGGAACAATTCCTTTAGCTAGTCTTAAAAGGAGCGCTGTATGAATGATCTTGAGTTTCCAGACATGCTTTATTTCCCTAGCTTCTTCTTCTTCTTCTTCTTCTTCTTGTTGCTGCTGCTGCTGCTGCTGTTGCTGTTTCTCAATTATTTTCAGTTCTATGCAATGCTATTTTTCTAGAAAAAGAGGTGCTGGAGCTCACTTGTTCTCTTAGAATGGCAGCGATGCCCACCTGGCTTACCTGAGAGGTGCCAGAGCTAAGATCTGGTGGGCTCCAATTGGAAAAAAAGAAAAGAAAAAAGCCCTGGGTCTATGTAACAGGTATTGAATTTTTTTAAAAATAGATGTTGTGCTTCTGTATACTTTGGGACCCTCACCTTAAACCTCCCTCATGTGCTTGGATGGTATTGTTGTTGATACCTAAGAAGCCATACTTGAATTTTTATATTAGTTTGCCTTCAGCTAAGTCCTACTCAGTGCAGAGTCATTGAAATGAATGAGCCTAAGTCAGTCATGTCCATTCATGGCAATGTCTGTAGTCTGAGTAGGATAAGTGTGGAATACCACCCACTGGATATTGCTATTATAATGCCGCCGCCAGCGTAACAAGATGCTTTTCGTACTCCCTAACCACTTGAAATAGCCGGAAGCACAGCCAGAGCTTCCTGCTATATGTTGCTGAAAGCAGTGAAAGGTTACATTTTCTCAGTTGCACATTATTCAAAACAACAGCCTCCGTGGCACTAGAAGGGAAGGGAGGCATGGGGATGTTTTTATGAATAAAATAAATAAAAATAAGGTGATCTTAAAAGCCATATGTTGGCGTGGTTGTATTTTAGAATGTGTCCACTAACCAGGCAGCTAGAGAGTGCATTATAATGCATATCATGAATAATTGTAGAATTCATTAAGCTTCTCTCAATTGTAATTAAAGCATATTTTTTACCCGTCACCAGCACTTTTTTCAGGGGGTACTGAAGGGTATGCAGTTACCAGCACCTCTTTTTTTCATTGTTAAAAAGTGTGGCACTTACTGTAACAACTTCATTATGAGTAAGGTAAAGGTAAAGGAACCCCTGACCATTAGGCCCAGTCGTGGCTGACTCTGGGGTTGAGATGCTCATCTCGCTTTATTGGCCGAGGGAGCCGGCGTACAGCTTCCGGGTCATGTGGCCAGCATGACTAAGCTGCTTCTGGCGAACCAGAGCAGCACACAGAAATGCCATTTACCTTCCCACCAGAGCGGTACCTATTTATCTACTTGCACTTTGACATGCTTTCGAACTGCTAGGTTGGCAGGAGCAGGGACCGAGCAACGGGAGCTCACCCCGTGGCGGGGAATCGAACCGCCGCCCTTCTGATCGGCACCTATTTTTCTAGCAAAAAAAAGCACTGCCTGTCACCATGCAAGGAAAGCTCACTGCAAGGAATCAAGTGAGCTAGACAAAGATGCTAGAAAACTATTACAGTAGCAACAGCCAGGGCCACTTCTACCGTTGGGCAGAGTGGGATAACTGTCTCAGGCGTCAGATGCTGATGACATTACCCATTTTATTAGTATTATTTTTTAGTATTCTGTTCATTTTGTAATTAGGATCCTCATTTGTTTTGCTAGTTATTCACTCAATTAGCATTCGTTTCATTATTCATTTCTTGCCTTTTTTATTACTCAAATTACTTTTCTTTCCTTTAGCAGTTTTTTTCTCTCAGTGGCAGCAGCAAGACTAGCTTCTGTAGCTGTTCCTGGTGACTGCCAATCCTTCCCCCAGATTGCTCTAGAATGGTATTTTGGGTTTTTTTTTTTAAAGGGTGGCCACTGGAAATGGCCACAGATGAGACAGGTAAGCTTCCCAGACCGACCCAACCTTGAATGATACAAATAAGGTATGTCACATTTGTTCTACTCTGCTTTTGTTTCAGAATGAGTGAAAATGGAAATGAAATGAGCCTGATTTGGTTCGATTTTAACTTCATTCCAAAATAAATGAATGACTGGGTGGACGTTAGAGTGTAAGCGATATATGGAGTGCCTAGATTTAAGTGAATGATTGTGCAGACTTTGGGTTTGCACTAAGCGAATAGATGGGTTTGTTTACTGGCAATCTGTTCAGGTGAGTACACCAGCAAACATGGACAAGCTTCTCCCACTATTAAAGATACCATGGCTCCAAAACCAGTTATGACCTCAACTCAAACATAAGAAGAAAATTCAGTTTGAGCTCTGGGTCAGTTTGAGTTCTCAACCCTATAGGGACTGTTATAATAGAAATCAAGATAGAAAAAATAAGAAAGAAAGAAAGAAAGAAAGAAAGAAAGAAAGAAAGAAAGAAAGAAGTTTGTTTGCTTGTTTCCTTACTCTGCATGTTCCCACTCAATCGTGTCAATCTGCAGATGTGACACTGTTACTTGTGCCACATAGTACACGTTCTGCATTGGCCTTTTAATGTGGCATCACCTACACGTTAGAACTCCTGGTCTGCTGCCATCAGGCAGGCATCTTCGCCATACTTTTCAAGTGCTTGCTTAAAACATTTTTGTTGAGGAAAGCCTATCCAGACATGCAGATGTTGACCTGTTTTAGTCTTCTTTTTTTAGTCTATTGTTAACTTTAATTATATTTTAAATGTGTTTAACTGACTGTTTTATTGGTCATTTAAATAGTTCTTGTAAACTGCCTGGAGGGCTTAAAAAAATAAAAATTAATAATAATAATAATAATAATTTGATAAATTAATTAATTATCGGCCCAGTATTGTGGAACACTTTTCCACTTTGCAGCAGTCTTCTTTAATAGTAATATTTAAATGTTTGCTGAAAACTTTTCTATGCTACTATGCAGGTGATTTGTGATATGTGTGTGTGTGTGTGTGTATCCAAATGATGACCCACTGGAATGGCCACAAATTATTTTGTGTTTTTATATTGGGATTTTATGTTGTGAAGCACTTTGAGACCTGCGGGTATAGGGCGGTATACAAATGAAATATTATGATGATGATGATGATGATGATGATTACCAGGCTGCTGAAACCATTATCTGCCACTGGACGAGCATGCTGAGAAGATGATAGAGTTAACCCCTTACTTATTTTTGATAAGACGCTGATCCTCCTTCCTGAAATCTGCTACTATTGCTGTTGCTTTGGAGAGGGGTGCTTCCTACTCCAAATTCCGCTGCCCCTTCTCATGATCTGTGCTTCTGCTGAAAATCCAAAGTGTCATTCACTAGCATCAGGCTCTGGTTCCACATGGGGTAGATGACCAAAGGACAAAGGGGATGACTAGTGTGTAGGATGCATGCCAGTAGACTCAGCACTTGCTCTCACTGTCTAATGGGTGAATAGGATGCTGACATTAGAACTCACATCACCTCTTCCTCTATTTTTCAGCAGCCAGTCAGGGGCTATATGATGATTTGGTAGTACAGAGAGAAATTGTATATCATTCTAATTTCATGTAGGAAGCAAAAGCATTCAATACATCTTGTGTATGTACATTCTAGGAAAATGCATAAACAGAGAAGAAATTGGCTGGCTTAATTCTGAACAGGGGAGCCAAACTCTATAGACTTTTCACAGTGGTTCCATGTACTGAAATGAGCGTTTCAAGAAACAGAGCCAAATTGGAGTTTTCGTTCCCTGCGACTCTAGTTTAGAGAATAGAATCCCTCAATATGCTGTGCAATTTCAAATTCACAAATGTTTTCTTGTTACACTCTCACAGAACAATTTATTTGGATGCGGCTTAGCGGAAAGTGAGTGGGTGCAAATCAGGATGCAACCGTTGTTGTTTCCCTCCCCCCCCCTTCACACTCGTACATGAATAAATGACTACAAAACAAAATGATTTTGTAGAAGCAACATCCTCAGTCTTTAATGGTTTCATCTGCATTAAGCTAATCTGTCTAATCGTCAAGCCACAATTCAGCAGAGAGGTGAGCACATTTTAAAAACCCTGCACTTTGTCCCTGTGATCTACATTCTTTGATCAGCTTCTCTGCATTTCAAATATCTGTGAACACACCATCTCTCAAATCTGAAACTTGGGATGTAGCCTTATTTCATAGATCTGGGAAGCTGTGAGCCCTCTCTTGCAGTACTGTGCAGATTGCTTTGGTGCTCTGTCTAGAGCTTATTACACTTCTAGCAAGAATGAGAAGCCCAGGCAGTGGTAGAAACTGTTCAAGGTCACATCCTCACCCCATACATTTGAGGCAACGGCTTCCTCCAATGAATCTAGGGAACTGTAGTTTGTTAAGTGTGCTGGGAATCGTAGTCCGTGGAGGTAAACTACAATTTTTTGGGGGGAACTATGTGCTTTAAATTTATGATGTGACAAATGGAAAACAGCAGAATGTGCGATAAAAGGTAAAGGTAGAGGACCCCTGGACGGTTAAGTCCAGTCAAAGGCGACTATGGGGGTGTGGTGCTCATCTCGCTTTCAGACTGAGGGAGCCGGCGTTTGTCCACAGACAACTTTCTAGGTCATGCACCGTTTCTGGTGCAACGGAACATCGTGACAAAAACCAGAGTGCATGGAAACGCCGTTTACCTTCCCGCCACAGTGGTACCTATTTATCTACTTGCACTGGTATGCTTTCAAACTGCTAGGTGATAATGGAGAGCAAAGCATTGTGGGGGGGGCTCTTGTCCTACGATGGCAGTAGTAGTATTTAAGAAACCAGTTTGATACAATAGCTCATCATTGAACAACCACCTACATTTAAACTGTATTTTCGCAGAAGTGCCTTTGCTTGTGTGCATAGATAATAATGCTAGCAGGGGATGGCATCTTGTTTTCCTCTTATGTTCACTGAGGGGAAAGGCAGGCAGCAAGGCTCATGCATTGCAAGTGCCCTCCATGTATGATAAATGTATAAATCAGAAGTTTTCAACCTTTTTGAGCCCACTGATCACTTGACCAACTACATTCTTTCTGCGGCTCCACTGTGGGGAAATGCACTCCGAGCCTCAGAGGCCCAGCAGTCTCTCACCCCTTTTTGAACACCTTCCCTTGTGAAATGTTCCCTTAGCCTCCTCTCCCCTCTCCTTGGGAGGCCTCCAGGCAGCCCCAGAACCACCATTCGCTTGTGGAGCTTGTAGCCAAGGCAGTTGCAACAAAAAGCCAAGCTTTTGGGAGGCAGAGACGTGAAAGGGCATCAGAGGAGGGAGGGAGGGAAGGAAGGAAGCAAAGAAAGAAAGAAAGAAAGAAAGAAAGAAAGAAAGAAAGAAAGAAAGAAAGAGGGACATAGGCCAGTGTTGTCTGCGCAACCCCTGACCATCATTCAAGGCACCCCAGAGTGCCACACCACACTGGCCTCTGGTATAAATGTATTTTAATCTCACTTTTATCCCATCTATTAAAAATATTATTGGTTTTTATCTTGAGGCTGCCGTCCTGGATACGCTTCTTTGAGAGCAGATGCTACTGAACACTTCAGAGTAAACATGCATAGGACTGCAGTGTGAAATGCAACAACAAAATTACATAAAAGCAAGGTGTCATTAATGTGGGAGAAGAGGTAGAGATTTATGTGGGGAATATTCAGAGAGGGAAGAGCTGGATATCTTTAAATGTTATTTTCAGATCCCATTTTTTAAAAATTTCTTATGTGCTTTTGTTTTATTCAAATGTGGTGGTTGCATGCATTTGCACCATAAAATGGAAGGAAAAGGCGATTTAAAGAGAAAACATCTAGCTCCTCTCTGCTGCCTCATATTCTAAAATGGAGCTGGTGTGTTTGTCAAGCATCACTGGGGCTCAGTAACAAAATATGTATGCGATAAGGAGGACAGAATAAACTGCATTGTTAAAGAGCAATGGGTAAGGTCTCTGCAAACCAATATTAAACATTAGACGTTAGATATCCTAGGTGGACACCCTTTCCACATCAACTTCCCCCTGCTAAGGATATATGGAATATGCGCATCAATATGCCCCAAATGCTAGAGCACATCCTGTTCTCTACATTGTACCTATTTTGGATGCTAAATTGCCAGATTGATTTCTTTGGTACCAGTCTTATCGCTGCGCTGAGAGTTTTAACATTTTATAAGTTCTGGAAATGATAGCATTTGGGAACTAAATATGCATGACACCCTGAAAATAAATACTTCCGTTAAATATAAAATTGTGTTTTCTACGCTGCAAGAAAATGTCCATTAGGGAGGCATGATTTTTTTTTTTTCCACAGTGGCAGCAATCCATAGAAGTGCTTTGCTCAGGCACCATAACCCACTGTAATATGCGTTATATGTCTCAATATACCTCCCCCTGTTGCACATATGTCATTTCAGGCAGGTCATGAGCTGAGCTACCAGCCAGCTTCATCACCCAGAATTGGCATTGGGACGTATCAAGCCTTTAGCCACCATCAGTTCCTATGGGGCAGGGCTATTAGCTCTCAGGTACAGTTTCCAGGGACGCGGGTGGTGCTGTGGGTTAAACCACAGAGCCTAGGACTTGCTGATCAGAAGGTCAGCGGTTTGAATCCCTGCGACGGGGTGAGCTCCCGTTGCTCGGTCCCTGCTCCTGCCAACCTAGCAGTTCGAAAGCACGTCAAAGTGCAAGTTACCTTCTGGTGGGAAGGTAAATGGCATTTCCGTGTGCTGCTCTGGTTCGCCGGAAGTGGCTTAGTCATGCTGGCCACATGACCCGGAAGCTGTATGCCGGCTCCCTTGGCCAATAAAGCGAGATGAGCACTGCAACCCCAGTGTGGGTCACGACTGGACCTAATGGTCAGGGGTCCCTTTACCTTTACCTTACAGTTTTCAGGTATGTTTAAATCCCACTCAGCCCTCTCTTTCCCCCCAGAAATTAACCATTATCTCAGGCTCCACGTCCCATATTATTTTGCCTCCCTGAAAGGTTTTTTCTGAACATAAATTACAGAGGGATGAAATGTGTGAATGGGCAAATCATGTCTTCTCAAAAAAAATAAAAAATGAGTTGCAAGCTTTTTATCTCCTTGCAAAAATATAATGGCCAGGTCAGGTCAGGTCCTCTCCCAACCGGTGCCCCAGCCACCTCCTCTTTCACATTTAGCAGAAGCTTCATATGTAAAAATGTAATGGACGAAGGCCTGCCTGGCATAGGTGCCAACTGCTTGGGGCCCTGGGTGCTCGAGCACCCACAAAGTTCCCCATGAAGGGGCCAGGCACCCACAAATTTCAGCGCCAGGGCCAGGCGTTCTGCATGGCACCCATGGCCCTGGGCACCCACGATTGTGGGGTCATGTTGGCACTCCTGTTGCCTGGCATAGGAAGTAAAGAGTGGGGGAACGGTTATCCTGCTTGCTTTCTGCATGTGGAGCAGACTGTGTGTGTGTGTGTGTGTGTGTGTGTGTAAGTGGGCAAGTGGGGAAGGGCTTGGCAAGTCCAGGCATGCCCCCTATCCTTTTCTGCCTCCTATGGTTATCCAGATGTGGCTGGACTCCAGCTCCCATCCTCCCATACCACTGGCCATGCTGGCTAGGGGAGCCTATCAACATCTGGAGGATGTTGATCTAACATCTGCTGCTCTATTGTGTGACCAGAGCAAGGAAAGGGGATGGGGTGGCAGCGGCCAGTCAAGACGAGGAGCTTACAGGAAGCGCTCTTTGGTTACTGATGCTGCTGCTCCTGCCGCAGCGCCGCGCAAAACCGACAAGCCCTTTCGCCTGTTCCTGGATGCGCGCAAAACGCGAGGAATAATCACAGTTAATCGTGTCTGCTCCGCTCCTTTGCTTGGGGGTCATCGGTGAGACGGTGGGTGGGTGGTCGGGATGTGTTATTGGGCCGGGGGTCCTTGATGACATCTATATGAATGAATCTTCCTCCCCTCTCTCACACATACATCCCCTCCCCCGTTGTTTTCTTTTGCACAAAGACAAAGCGATGCTAAACCAAAGTAAAAGCGTCTCTTCTCAGGGAATCCAAAGTGGCTGGGACTATTTCTACCCGGGCAACTCGGCAGGACAACAAAGATCTCTCTCTCTCTCTCTCTCTCTCTCTCTCTCTCTCTCTCTCTCTCTCTCTCCGTGTGTGTGTGTGTGTGTGTGTGAGAGAGAGAGAGAGAGAGAGAGAGGGTGCTGGAGAAGAAGAATTCTCTCCAGTGGCTCATTAATTCTGCACCATTCTGATCAGAGCTTCGCTGGCACTGTTAAGGTTATTCATGTTCAGGTAGCTCCTTCCCCCCCTCCCTTCTCCCTTCCCCTCCTCCCTTTGGAAAAAAAAATTAAATCTCTATCTTTCCTCTTCTCCCCCCCCCCACAAGCACCCCAGAATGTTATATTATTAATTGCCAATTTGCATATGTGTGCAGCTGCTGTTTTGGCATCCGATTAGCTTGCTGGAGGTATAGCGGAGCATTTGGCAGCTTTCCTCTTTGGAGGGGGGGAAAGGTGGGGGGAGGAAAGAGAGAGAGAGAGAAAGAAAACGAAGGAGACGGCCTCCCCTAACTACAGAACAGCTGATAGTCTATCAGCCATAGACCCTGACGGCGTGAATTACAATTACAGTACTTTTCACACTAAATCTGGGTGATAGCTACTTGGAAAGAAGTTTCATCTTTTTTTAAATAAAAAAACCCCCACAAACTGGAGGGGGGGAGAGAAAAAGAAATTACATGGTCATGCTGTGCTTTTAAAGGCGGTTTAGGTCACTTTTGTCTATTTAACACCTAATTCCGAGGAGTCCATAGGCATCTGGGAGATGTGAACGGCGCCTAACTATGATTTAGCTGTTTAGATGGGGGAGATCTGCCCCCACCCTCGCCCCTCCCGTTTATAAATCTACCTCAAATTACATTTATTAACAAGGCGACCAGGAAGTGTTAAAGTTGTTAGACGCTTCATTGATTAAACAATTTGTTTGGGGGGATTTTCAGTTGTCATCTCCAGAGTCATGGGAGTGGTTGTGGCTTGTTTTGTTTTATTATTAATAGCATTTAAAAAAAAATGCAGTACTGGGGCCACTGTGAACAAATTCGCCATTGGATCCGGACATCTGCTTGCAAGCGTGAGGCTTGAAATGGGGAGCATCCTGATTGGTGGTTTGGTCTCTTGGGTGGCCCAATCCTGTCCAAGTTCGTCTCCCACCGTGCACCACTTGCCACAAACAATTGCGCTCAAGGCGGCTCACAATACCCAAAACATTCATACACGGTGTTAAGAAGTCCTTGGCAGCTGTGATTCAATCCAAAACATGCATATTTATTCATCCATATTTCTACTGTACTGTCTTCAACGGGTCTTGCTCCCAACGCAGCCTAAAAATGGGCCATGGCACTATTTATTAAGTCTTTCTGATTTCAATTGCTTGACTCTCCCGCTGAAATCCCTCTACTCCGATTGGCCATTTAGGTTCGGTTCCCCCGCACAGCTACACAGACCAATGGGCAGTCTTGACTAACTCCCCGTATCCTGGGCTAATCTACCTCACGAGGGCGTTGTGAGGGTACGATAGGATGACCCCCCACGTGTGTTAACATTTTCACCGAGAGCCTTGGAGAAAGGCCAGGATGCAATGTGGGTGGGTGGGGGAGATAAATCTCGTGCATGGTTATGGCATCTACCCAATGTGCCAGCCAGGGAGTCAGTGAGATACACACTGGTCTCATCAGCTCATGGTTGTCTGAAGGCGCACAAGGCCCCCACCTCGCTGAAGCTAAGCGAGGTTGGGTTTGTGCCTGGATGGGCGACTGCCTGGATCTTCCACGATGGAAGAAAGGCCGACCATAAGTTGTGTGGAGACACTGTACATAAGCACATAAATGCACCATTCAGTAACCATGGTTAGGATCACGATGCGCGGTTTTGATTTAAAGTGTGGGTCCCCACCAGCCTGCAGGTTAGCTCAGTCGGTAGCGCATGAGACTCTTAATCTCAGGCCTGTGGGTTCGAGCCCCTCTTTGGGCCAAAAGATTCCTGCGTTGGGCAAAAAGATTCCTTCATGGTCTCACTAGATGACCCTCCTGGTCCTTTCCAACTCTATAATTCTATGATTCTAGGTGTCTTGCCTATCTGCAGCTTGTTTCCTGTACTTGAAACTTTAAAAAGTACACTTAAAAAAGTAAGAGGGACAGTCCTATCCATGCACATTGAGCTCGGAGCGGCGTCTGCGTGCGTTTTTCTTCCAGGCTCCCATCCTAATCCTTGTGTTTAGGACCGCGGCCTCCTCAGTCCGAGGATTCCACTGCTTTAAATGAAAGTTCGTGGCTGCCAATGACAGCTGGTCACGGCTATATATATATGTACACCCTCCAGCAACAGAGCTGTATGCTTCTGGCTAGGGAATCACAGGTGGAAAGAGAGCATTGTTACGCTCACGTTCATATTTACATTCCATATATATTAATATTCCACATGCAAATAGTATTAAATAATCCAGTATTTAATATTCCATAATGCAAACAGAAGCCATCACAGGGAGAACACACGTTGTTCATACACACAGAGACACAAATGCACTATCTCAAGCCTGAAATATACGGTTCTAGCTAGTCCTGGCTCAGCTAACCTAAGAGAAAATAGACTGTTTTCCCTTTTTTTTGAGCTGCTTGCATTATTAGATTTCTCACTCTCACAGATTATCCAAAAACTACCCATTGATTGATCGCCCGTAGAGCTGCATTTGGTGTAAAGAAAAACTTCACAGCTTTATTGGCTCCCAGGAGACAAAACAAACAGAACAAGATATTCTTATTAAATACAAACAATGCAACAAGCGAGGGAAACGTCCCATGGAAATCAGTTCAGCCAAGGCAGTCCAGCGCGCCGCAGCCCCAGCTGAGGATATACCCGGGAGGATGGCTCAAGTTTTGCGGCTGGCTCTCTCAGGCAAAAGTCCCTCTGGGATTTGCAATATTGTTCGCAGCATCTCTTCGGAGGGATCCCAGTCAGAGCTGAGGAAGATGCCATCGAAGGGAAGCCTGGAGACTGGCTTGGCGTTGCTGCTCGATTGCGCTCCAGTTCAACTACAAACCCGGATGGGGTTCCCGCCCCTACGCCACCCACAAAAAAATAATCAAACCTCACCCCCAAGCGCCCACGTCACCATCTCGTCCCCTCCACTCTTTAACAATCCTCCTTTTTTTGTGGCTTGCAGGCCTGGCTTCGGTTCGCGTTCCAGAAACGTGAATAGCCGCGCAGCGCGATCCTATGCACGGCTACGCGGAAATCGAGAAGAGTGGGTATAGGACTGCAGACTACCTGAGCCATGTGTTTTTGCCCCTAGGTAGAAGTGCATAGGATCGCGCCCTCTTGACAAATAAGTAAATAGGATGTTCAGGAATCTTCGCTCGAGGTTGCCCTGCGCTATTATCAAAGATGCGGAACTCTGCTTAGCATTTATTTAGTGCTGTATAGGAAGCCTAATGGCAGAGACGCTAGTTTGTTCTCTGCTGGAGTCTGTGGGGTGAAAAATATTCTTATTAAAGGGATGGCCAGTTAATTTTTTTCTGCACATGGCCTTTTGATAGTGTGGACAGAGGTGGGCCGGGTCAGGCCATTTTTTCTTGTGTCTTGAGGAGTCCTGAGTTCAGTGGAAGGGTTCGTTTTGTAGCCCACCTTTCCTCCAAGAAGCTCAAGGCGGTCTACATGGTTTTTTCGCTCCTCGTTTTATGTACACAACATCCATCTGAGGCAGCGATTCCAAAATACGCGCCCGAATAAGACCCAGTATCGACGTGCCTGTGATTTGAAGTCATAGTTGGGAGCTCTCTCCCAGGTACCCACCATCTGGGTTGAGGTGACCACCAAGAGGGTCTTCTCGGTTGTGGCCCTCTTTTCCTGAACTCCTTTCGCAGACAAATCTGCCTGGTGCCAGCGTAATTCTTATCCTTCCTTTATCATAAACTCTTTTAATATCCTGTTTTTGTTTGTCTAGCATTTGTAAGCTGCCTTGGGAGTACCACCGAAGAGGCACTGTATAAATATTTTAAATAAATGCGTATAGAATTGCAGCTTTGATATTCTGGCGGAGCAGGAGAGGAGGTTGCGAGCCCAATCTAAAGCGCGCTTCCTAGAAAGACAGTCCCATTGAAACTCAGTGTGACTTACCCTCGAGAAATCTCCCACGGGTGCACGCTACACAAGCTACAGACTGTGTAATGTACAGTGGCACCTCAGGTTACATACGCTTCAGGTTACATACGCTTCAGGTTACAGACTCCACTAACCCAGAAATAGTGCTTCAGGTTAAGAACTTTGCTTCAGGATGAGAACAGAAATCGTGCTCCGGTGGCGCAGTGGCAGCAGGAGGCCCCATTAGCTAAAGTGGTGCTTCAGGTTAAGAACAGTTTCAGGTTAAGAACGGACCTCCGGAACGAATTAAGTTCTTAACCCGAGGTACCACTGTATTTTAAAACAGTGGTACACGCACACTTAAATAAAACCCTGCCTGGTTCTGAAAGTGAAGTGTACCGTACTTTTGTTGAAACCACTTCAGTGCCTGATCTCCTATAGTAGATTCAGATCAATCTGGAACAAAGGGAGTTTTACCTGATGCGAAATGTGTACATAGCAGATTGTCTTCTACTGAGTCAGATCTTTCGTCCAGTAAAGTCTACAATGAATGGCAGCAGCTCTCCAGGAATTCAGATGGGGAGGTATTTCCAGCCCTACATTCAATCCTGCCAAGGATTACACCTGGCATCTTCTGCGTACAAAGCAGATCCTATGGCCCTACCATACTCTACCCCACTTTTAGAGAATTTAAGCTAGGATGAGAGAAATTAGCAGTCGTGGGCGAAGTGGTCATTAAAATTCCTTTACTTGTCAAGAAATTTCGCCCCGGGGTGCAGTGTTTAAAATACGAAAGCAAGGTTAGAGGACCATCATGAAATCCACACACCCATGAATCCCAATTCTTAGCCAATCATTCCTCGAGGACCTTAATTCAGTGCTGCAACAAGAAGTAAGGGCAATAGGTCCACATCCCCGCCCACTTAATTCGAGTGCAAATATTCAGGGGCGTACCTAGGGGTTGGTTAGGTTGGTCCCCGCCAGGACACAGGCACAGGTGGGAGCAAAAATCTCGAAGAAAGACAGAGAGCCGGGGATTGCCAAGGGCGCAATGGGGCCTAGGTACCCCTCTGCTAATGTGGGCCTGTCCAGTATAATCGCTGAAGTCTCGAAACTACGACCAGAAACTCCGTCGTTTTACAGGCCGATCCTTGGCCAGCGTTCATGAGCTCACTTGTGTGAAAAGCAATTTCCGGTACAGTGGTACCTCGGGTTACATACGCTTCAGGTTACATACGCTTCAGGTTACAGACTCCGCTAACCCAGAAATAGTACCTCGGGTTAAGAACTTTGCTTCAGGATGAGAACAGAAATCGTGCTCCGGCGGCGCGGCAGCAGCGGGAGGCCCCATTAGCTAAAGTGGTGCTTCAGGTTAAGAACAGTTTCAGGTTAAGAACAGACCTCCGGAACGAATTAAGTACTTAACCCGAGGTACCATTGTATAGCCAATGTATACCCACCAAAGTAATCCTACACCTGCCTTCTCAGAAGTAAGCACCGTTCAGTTCAATAGGACTTGTGGGAAAGTTTAGGATCGAGCTGGAGTTGAAACAAGGTTGATTCTCAGGCAATTTTGCTTAGGGTCGCCGTCTTGGGAACTCGGAAGAGTCTCTCTAATGGAAAAAAGGAAGGAGAAGTCAGGAATTTTACCGCAAAGGTAAAGAAAGGGGAGTAGGGACGCCTGACTGACCCACTGTTGGTTTTTAGAATGGGCCCCTGGGCTTTTGCTTCTGCATTCACAGAGCGGAATCAGAGCACCACGCAGACCCGCCACCCGCCACCCAAGGTGCCCACCGCGTTTTGCCAACACGTCAATAGGAACCAAGTGGACTCAGGGTCAGGAAAAGCCAAGTCTGCATTTAGCTTCAGGTCAATGCTGGAGGGACTTTCCCTTCTGTGGAATCTGTGAGCTTCCTCGTTTGGTCGTACAGACCAATATGGCCCATGGATACTGACCAGTGATACTGTTGCTACCCCCTTCCTACATCTCCCGCTATTCCATCCAAGACCGTATCCTTCCCTTAGGATGCAATCCTATTATAAACCGCATTGACTTGGTATAGTCAACCCCACTGAAATCAGGAGGACTTGCTTCCGAATAAACCCGCCTGGGTTCGGATTTCAGGGCTGCAATCCTGTAGCGCCCTGAAGAGGAAGCCCCGTTCAAGTCAGTGGGGACTTCCAAGCAAACTGTGACAGCCCAAAGGAGCGCGTAAAGGCCTTTTTTCAGCATTGATTTTTCCGTGCTTGCGCCTGTGCATCGGCGTAGCCGGGAGGGGGGCAGCTGCCCCCCCAATAAAGTAAATCAATTAAAAATACTTAACAAACTGAGGTTCTGCCCCCCTAACATGAATCCTGCCCCCCGCCACATAAATCCTGGCTACACCCATGGGCGTGTGTGACGGGAGAACCTAGAGTCTCGTCCCTACTGATGCATCTCGGCTTAAACGCTGGTGGAGTTATCACTCCAGTGAAGTGGAAATAGGTTTGTTTTGTTTTCCAGATCGACTCCACTCCGGTGTGCATGGGTCGGGCATCCTTCTGATTTTATCTCAAGCAGCTTCCATCGCGAGGGAATACAAAAAATCATTCTCGTTAAAGGCCCACAGAGAGACGTGTAACAACCTTAAAAAATAAATAAAAAGAAGGTAGTACAAAACAGTAATATAAACCCAACCACCGCCCCGTCGAGAAAATTCAGTCTTTTATTTGTCCAAAATCAAACGTCTAATTATATCCCCGTGTCTCCTTCCATGCATGCGTTCATATTTGTAATGCTAGCTGGTTTTGTAATGCCTCGGTGGGTAAACGGAGAAGAACGTGCTTTGCGCTCTTTTTTACATCTACAAAAAAGCCTTTGATTAGGTCCTAAGATAGTCTATTCCACGGTTTGTTTCCTACGATGTAATAATTAGTTAAATGAGGGTGGTGGAGAGGAAGCGAGAGAAGCAGAACGTTTCTGGTACGAGTGTGCATTATTAGGAAAGGTGACGGCCCCTTTGACCAATTGTGTGTAGACCGACCTGGAAGTAAGCCCTATTAAAAACCATAGCGCTTACTTCGGAGTAAGCATGCATGCATTGGATCGCGCCGCCCGTGGACTAGGTGTTTTTTTGTATACAAAGGAAGGAGGAAGCAACCTAGTCGTAGGTGATAAAACCTCTCGATCTTTTTGCCTATGGATAACGGTGGCTACCAGCGCAAACGTATGCATGTCTACTGAGTAAGCCCCATGGGTTCAATGGGATTTAGCACCAGGGACGTTGGTACAGCATGACGGTCCTTTGGAAAGCATTCCCCGTCTCCCCCCCCCAAAAAAATGCCTCCCCTCGCGATTCTTGACAAAAATGCGAACAGCCGAATCCGGGTCAATGACGATAAAATTGGCGAAGTGATGTAAACTGGGCCAAGACAGGCCTGGCGCCGCTGGCTCTTCGCCACAATCCCAGTCTGGGAACCTGCAAGTCAAAAAACCCTAGCTAATAATTGCAGTCTGCAAACCGCAGCGCCGTGGACACATGGCTTAGCAAGAGCTCCTCGGGGAGGGGGGGGGAATTGCCGTTTCTGTGGGCTTGGCTGCTGAGCTCCCCCGTGGGCTTTCGCATCTTGTGGATGGCAAGGCGCCCGAGGTTTCTTCCCAGTGCTCCCATGGAGCTTGGACTTGGCTTTTTACGCCCCCACCCTTCTGTCCTGAGTTATGCGTAGAGCATTTCCACAAGCTCGCAGGCTGGAATTGACAAGGGCTGCCAGGCGCGGGCGCGCGCTCGGAACGAAAAAAGGCAACCTGTTCGGGCCGGAACGGCGCGTCCTTCTATCCCGGAAGGAGCCCCCCCCCCAGCCAGCCAGAGGGGGCCCACCTCGACGCTGGCTGGGGGCAGATTTCCCTCTCCCCGGGAATTCTGCAGCAAGGGTGGCCTCAAAGGGAAACGTGGGGTTCAGTGTCTCCTTCGAACCGAGATAGTGAAAAACGCGTGTTAAATGTGCGCCTGAGCCTGCACCCACAAGAATTACTCCTCTCTCTCTCTCTCTCTCACACACACACACACACACACACACACACACACACACACACACACACACACACACTCACAGAGCGATTTCCACGGGGAGACCCATTCAGAATTATTTCAGTTTAGCTAACGCTTCCAAAGAGATCTACTGGTTTTTTAAGCTCTCTCTAACAAATGCAGACGGTCGATATTTCGAGCTTTTTATATGCATAAAGTGTATACACGTGAAGAGGGAGATCTACTTGTTCTCAGGGCCTAGGGAATCCAAGAGATGTTAGAGCCGCTCAGTAATAGGTCTCCAAGTCTTCAGATCTGCGCAAGAAGTTCTAGCGTCACTCTCTTGCGCCCTCACCGATCCTAAACACGGAAAGAGCCTCCATTTCTCAGTGGAACTTCCCAGCGAATATCTAGGCGTTGCATCGATACTAGTCGACTACGGTCCCTTTCTTCTATCTCGAATTCTGCATTTGAAAGCATTAGCCCAAGTTACTCTGTAAAACAGACTTGCCTCAGGGGGGCTTCAACAAGTGGGATGGAGAGGCCACCGAAACGGGTTTTGCTACCTTTCCCCCTGCGCCCAAGTTGGGTAACGGCGATGTAGCAGGCTGGTTTTGGGTAGGCAGGCCTGACTACATACCCCCAGGAGCAGGCATAGGCAAACTCGACCCTGCAGATGTTTTTGGCCTACAACTCCCATGATCCCTAGCTACCAGGACCAGTGGTCAGGAATGATGGGAATTGTAGTCTCAAAACATCTGGAGGGCCGAGTTTGCCTGGGATGGTGAGGTGGGACTTTTGCCCTGCGGCTGCTGTTGAATTCTCAACCTCCATCAGCCCCAGCCGGAATGGCCAATCGGAGCGCCACAAGTCACGGGGATCACAGTCCCCTCCCCAAGCCCCATCCTTGAGGAAATGTGGAGAAAAAGCCAATAGGAGGAGCTATCTCCAGCTCCGTTTCAGGGCAAGGGGCTACTCTAGAAACAAGGACTGATCTATTGGTTTCTGATGAGTTTCTTTCAGTGGGAACAAAATAAAATACGTTTTGAGTCTATTGCACACCTACAGCAGACTCCTGTGCTATGAATTCAGTGAAACCGAACCCCAGGTGCGTGTGTGTGCCGTACTATATAGCGCGCGCACTTCTTTGTCAGCAGTGCGCGCCTTTGCGCAGGGACCTCTTTGCCTTAGCGCAGTGTTCCCCAACCTTGTAGTTTTTGGACTACAATTCCCATCATCCTTGACCACTGGTCTTGCTAGTGTGGGATGATGGGAGTTGTAGTCCAAAAACAGCTGGAGGCCCAAGGTTGGGGAACACTGCCTTAGCGCATAGCCAAGATGCAGACACGATACCAAGCCCCCACCAGCAGAGAAGAACCCTTAGGCTAACCTGTTGAGAAGGAAATCATGATCGCTAAGCCGGCTCTCGGGCTGCCTGTTGCAGCTGCGTTGGCCCTAGACGGGGCGAACGGTTTTCTCCAAACACCTATGATAAACACAACCGGTGCCAGCTTCGGAGTCCATGATCTCGATACAGTCCTGAGCTGTTCCCTCCTTCCAATTACGGCTTTCGTGACTAATTAGCGCGCGTGGTTCTCTAGCCGTACGTGCGCCTACCGATGGCACCTGAGGCAATTTATCAATTAGACGGTAACTAAAGACATTCCTGACGGATCGGAGGTTAAGGATGGAGCGTTTGACACAAAAGAAGGTGCTGCGCTATCGAGGCCGCTCAGATGGGCAGCTGGAAACTTCTGCGGGCCTAATCCGGTCGAGATCCTTATTAACACGGGTCTGCTATGTTAATATCCCCCAAGAGTTGGTCCATTTCACGGGATCACTGGCAAAAACAGAACAGAGCTTCGCGCTTAGGAAAGTGAAGCGAGATAAATACTTGCTTTTGTTTTTGGGGAGATCATGAGAGATCCTTGGACGGCAAATGGAGGGTTTCTCTTTATATCACAAGTTCCTGTCGTCTTGCAGCTGGAATTCTTCCCAGGATCCTGAAAGGTCTACAGTCCTGTTTAGAAGCAAGACACTTTAATGAAATGCGATTTTTCCCTCTAAGGAAGATCCAGCCACTGCGAAGCATTTTCACGACGTCTTGGTTTGAGTGGGAAAGATTTCAGCACGTGTTTAAGGCTGCAGACCTATGGACGATTATTCGGTACCGGATCCCTCTGAACTCAGTAGGGCTTATTTCTTAGTGAACATATATAGGATCGGTCATGCACTTTCCGATGCAAACCAGTGGGATTATAACAGTGTCTGCTTTCTTCCCCTGGTAAAGTCATGCTCGATGGAGCTAAGTAACAGTTTCCAGACAGCAGGCCGCTGGAGTGGTGCTTTTCCTATCGCACGAAAAGCACATTAAAGACCAAGATATGTATAGTGGCATAAACTTTCGTGGGCCACAGACTATATTTGTGACTATGATTGTTGTCTTATAAGCGTTTAGCTCTGGTTGGATCGTGTCCAGTGACTCCCCCCCCTTTTTTTTTAGCCAAAGCATTTTGGAATGCCCTTGATATTTGTGGCCTCCAATAGATTTCTGTGTTTTTCAAAACCTTGCAATCAACTTCTTGAAAAAAAAGCAATTTATTTATGGTTGTCAGAAGCGGCCTTCTAATGTTCGGTTGTTATTTTGGCTCTTGGTCTCATCTCTCCCTCTGAGTTTCAGGTCACTCTGAAGGTGCTGCTGTTTTTTAAAGACTTAGAGTAGCAGCCAACGCCAGTCATACGCCAAGGAGACCCATGAAATCAATGCATTGGAGTTACTCAGGTTTACTGACTTCAGTTGGTCTACTTTGAGAAGGACTAACATTGGATTACAGCCTTAACTCCTAACCCTCCTTCTGTCTTGCACCCGGGACCTATAGCAAAACCGGAAAGGACCCACAGAGACGATTGAGAAGATCCAAACTTGTCTAGAGTGGCAAAAGAAGTCGTTGTCGGTAGAAACACACACACACGTTCCTTTCTCTTCGCCAATAAATGGCACATCTGACAACTGAGAAAACGCTACTTTAAATAAAAACCAAAAACTGCTTAGGATTTCTTTTCCTAAATGACTTTTTCTTCGAAAGAGAGGCGGATTTAAATCGGTTTCCGATTCATGAGGACAAGCCAGTTAAACAGCAGCAGCAGCAACAGCAACTGATTTTCCAAAGGCAACACCCGGAGGCATCTCAAGCCACCAAGCAAACAAAACGTGCCCTTAATTTTATTGCACGGTGGGATGAAAAGGCTGCTTCCTTTCTCCTTCAGTAGAGTAATGCCCATGAGGGGAGAGAGAAAAGGTGACAACCAAGCATTTATATATATGCATACACATACACGCACATACAGATCAAGTCACCTTGGAGAGCTCATATGGGAAGAAGCAGCGCCACCGCCTCCTCAGCCATATGGCCAGGGATCTTCCCCGGGGAGCAAGCGTCAAGTCACCTTTCAGTCCGTATGTGCAAATAATTGCGGTGATCGATCGACTAGGAGGAGGCCCGGATTCATTCGCCGCTCTCTCCGCCTCTCCTGGTCAAGGAGAGACAGCGACGCAGCTGCGCTGCCACGTGCTCGGATTCAGTACTAGGGAAAGCAAAGGTTGAGATATTTCCACATCACATTACTAGGGCAAAGGGGACTGGACGCAGAGCATATAAACATATGTACAATCTTTTCTCCCCCGCTCTCCTCATTTTCTTCCTGTAACCTTCCTGTCGCAAAGCTACAGACTCCGGAAAGTCCTCACCATCTACAGAACTCCCGTGAATCTCTCCTAAACATTATTGCGCCTAAAGAGGCCGAGGATAACCATGGAAAATCCGACAGGGAAGATCAGCTTTGGAAAGAACAGGAAAGGCGATGGAGTTAGTAGCAGGAGAGGGGATTTGCAGCGAGGAATGGATGAGATTTATTAGCGAAGGGAGAAAATAAAGGATCCTGCAAACCCTACGTATTATGACGCTGGTTTGGAGGTGGGTTTTTGTTTTTTTGCGAGGTTGGGGAGAGGAACGTGGCTCATTTTGTGGCATTCCTGGTGATCTGGTCCACACGCGCCCTTTAACCTCTCAGGGTGTGGGCTTGGGGGGGGGGGAGATCCTTCCTTCTCTGCCTTGTTAATGCGTGGATATATAATCATTTAGCTCATACTGTTTCTTATCCAGCATCAATATGTTGTTCCCTTCACATGAAACTCACACGCGCAGTTTGTGTAAATCTGTAATAAATAATATTTTAATGTTAAAGGGAAGTGTATAGTAATCAAAATCTTTAGGGGCAGGATGGAATGGAAACTGAGAAGGCTTTGACAGTAAACAATCCAGCGCTCATTCCTCTGCCTCATACGACTAATAAGAGACTCCGGGTGCTTCACGACGCTACATTTTTTAGGAAGTGGTTTGACAACAAAAGCAGCAGCAACGAAATCCCGGAGGAGAAGCAGGTCGGGTAGCGAGGCCAGGTGGTCAAAGCTGGAACAGGTAAGGTGTAGCTGCTGTCTTAGTGGAGCCCAAAGTAGGATCTGCAGACAAGCGTGGCATTTATTGTTCTCTTCCTGGTCATCTGCTGTGTGTGCCTGTGGAATCCTGACAAGGCAGCCCAATATATTTTGCTGCCTGAGAAGAAATAGCAAATTGTACCTTGCCACCTTCAAGTCAAGTTACATGGTAACCAAATCTGGTCAAGTTATTTGGATACCTGAGGCAGACAATCTCACAAGTTCCTCTACCCCACCCACATGTGACACACTCTTTCTCCTGTTGACTTCCAGAAACCTTGCACCAGGTCTGCAGGACGTCTGATTCGCTTCTGGAAAGCTACTAGTTACTTGCAGGTTGGCATCCTACATGGCTTACTCTTCTGGTGCATTGAAAGCAACCATTGACCACACTTCATTATGGCTGTGATGTAACCAATGAAGCAAACCATGCATATTGCATTGTAAAAGAGAATGGAACATGTGCAAAATGTTGCAGTGTGAAATGTTCCTATTCAGAACTCTGGTCTTTCAGGCATACTCTTCTCCATCATACAGCTTTCCATTCCTGCTCTCTCCCAACTTTTTATCCCCATCCCAACCGTCAGCGTTCCATGGCCACTGAATATACTCGTGTCATCATCAGGACACCATTTGTGTGTGTGGTGGGGACACACTTGGGCTTCATTACCAAATATTTTTCTTCTTGTGCAAAGCTTGGGGATGCCAGTCTACCAATACCTCCCTCTTTGGCATGCATGGATGGTGCCTTTTGGGCAACTTAAACAACAACACTCACCTTTGTGTATGAGAAATAAGAGGGAATTGTGGTTTCCTAAGTGTCACTAAGGGCTGCACCTTTCAACTACTTACACTAGATTTGGGGCTTTTAAATTTTATACTGGAAACCAGTTTGTAATTTCTGAAGGGAGGCTAAAGAAACATTGCATCCGCTTACGTTGAAGGCATGAAATCATTTGCAAACTTTGAGGATAAGAGAAAGGCACATTATTATTAGGTAGGGAATAGAGGTTCCTAGGTCAAAAGAAATGGAGAAATAACAACAAGCATGCGTTATTATTAATTATAATATTTATTTATATCCTGCCTTTCCCCCAGAAACGGGAGTCAATACTAACAAAAGTCAAATGACTAGAAACTCTCGATGACGGGTTGCAAGTCCAAGTATTGCCACTCCTTGGTTAAAAGTGGGTCACTAAGTGGTTTAATAAGTAGTCTGAGCAGCAACATCTACAAGGAATTAGTAACCCATTGGGACAAGGCTGTTGTTTCTTTGGAGACTCCTTTAGAAATACCCTATTTTTTTACTCATTCTACTTCAATAAAGTGATGTAGCCCAATTCTGCTGAAACCTAACTTGGAGCAAAAATGGACTTTTACAGTGCAACCCTATATATCTTTACTCAGAAGTAAGTCCTAATAAGTTCAATGGGCATTATTCCCAAGTATCCACAGAATTTAACTTTTAAGAAGGATAAAAGCGTCACACACACACATATAGCTTGAACTTCTAAGCTGTTGGCTTTTTAAATTGCCCTAGGCTGAAATGCGTATGAAATAGTGCTGCTAATTATATTTGTATGTATTTTAAACTGAGATATTTATTTAACCCACTTTGAAGGAGTGTCTGCTGGCTGAAAAGCAGGATGGAAGGATTGTCCACCAGCAGAAAAGCAGGACAGAAATTATTATTAATAACAATAACAGTAGCCCTAAACGTGCTTGTTTGAACTTCCAAATAGGACTTCCAAATAAACACCCATAGGTTTAGACGTGCAGAGCAATGCATGTAGGTCGACTCAGACACAAGTCCCCCAGGTAAGTCTGCACAGGATCTCAGCACAAGTCCCAAACAAGGCCAAAGGCCATATAAAGGAGCAGGCTATCTTTAGAAGGGCTCCGCAATTCCTATGCAGAGTTGATGGACAGCACTCCAAGTTTCGAAACCACAGGTTCTACAATGGCCTGTGTGCATAGCAGCCAACTCCTAGGGACCGAGATCCCTTCGGCCCCCCCCCCTAAAATATTTGGGCCTCCACAAAGTTGATGAGCATTGTCATTCAAATAATGTGTGCGCGCCACGTCTTATGATCTATTATGCGGGCTGGGGATGACCTGTCACCTGCCCCTTCTCCCATATTTTATTCAAGTTGGAACCCTTGCTTGTGGGTATGCGTGTGTGCCTGTAGATCCAAGTTCCACAATGAAAGCCGGTCGGATCAAGGCCGATCTAGTGAAGGGAACGCCTCCCCCCCCAATGCCAAGGAGCCTTCCTTCTCCCCGCAGCAAAGAAAGAACAGGGGAAACCCGGAGCGCCAGCCGGTGGCACGCCGGCCTAATTGGCCCGCGCAAGATCACAGCCACGGCCGCCCTCGCTCGGCGCCCCCCTCCCGCCCGTGTAATTAGGGGGTGGGATTATTAAAGGCAGCGGGAGATTCCCCCCCACCACCACCGCATGGCTTTATGGAGGGGAGTCAGGATTGCACCCCCGATTCGTGGAAACGAGCGCGCGCGCCTGTGCGCTGGGGTGTGCAATGCGGGAGAGGGTTTGCTGGGGGGGGGGGGGGAATGAAGGCAGCGTTTGCGAGGAGCTTTTCCCTCTGTGGCGCCGGGGAAGAAGAAGAAGGGGAAGGCGGGATCACGGCGAGCCGAGGGAGGGAAAGGCAGGCAGGCAGGCAGGCAGGCAAGCAAGCAGGAAGGAGGCCGTCCTGATTAGCATGCAGCAGCGCTCGCAAGCCCGGCTCCATTGTTTTAACACCTCCCCTCTCCTCCGCGCCAATCTGTCACCGTTCAGCAGGCGAACGCGGCTGCCTCGAACGCGGCTGCCTCAAATGAGACGGATAATTAGCTGCCCCGCACGAATGGCGCACTCTTCTCACCCCTGATTGCTATCACCTTCTTGCTCCTGGCAGTTTTGACACCTCGTAATCAGCCTGCTGCTTTTTCCTCTTTTCTTTCCCTATTTCTGATTCCGTCCCCCCCCCACCCCACCCCCGTTTTCCTTCAGGTTCCCCCCTCCCCTTTTCTTCTTTTTTTAAATAATAAAAAATAAATAAAAAAGTAAAATAAATGCAACGCCAGTTGCCATTTGGATTGAGCCTCCTCTGCTGAGTTAACCTTGCATGAATCGTAAGGAAAGAGGAGGGGAAGAGGATGTCGGAGGGCGACAAAAGCGCTTCTCCTCCGGGGCGCGCGCGTATTTTGAGGTGGCGCGGGCAGCTGTGTCGCTCGGCTGCTTGTGCCTGGTAGCCTCGGCGACTTGGGTAGCGGAACAGGTTTTTGTGGTGTCGTGGTGGTGGTGATTGTGACGACCCCCACCCTACGCCCCCTGCTCAGCTTCCCTCTCCATGTTCTGGGGGTCGAAAGAGAAAGGCTTGGGCCTGTGCGCGCCAAAGGAGAGAGACCTTTCCGCAGCGCGCCCCCTTTAGTCGACAGAGCGGCGCTACAAGCGGGGAGAGAAAGGCGCGCGCCCGCGCCTCCGCGCGCCCCTGCACCAAACCCCTGACAAATGTCAAATGGCTGATTTAATCTAATCTAAAGTTTATTGGCGGGCTCCGAAGGCGAAGGGGGAAAAAGAAGCCCAAGCTGAGTGTGGCAATAAACAGACTGCAGAGGGAACCTCCAGAAAAGGACAGAGCTGAGACCTCAAATTAATGTACTAAATTTCCCTTCGAAGATCGCACCCCCTCGATGAACTAGTGGAATCTGTCACAAGTGTGTTTCCCTCGCTCCTCTAACGAGCGGTGACAGTCTAATTACTGGAGCTACAAGCAGCTGGCGAGGTAGCCAGAGAGAGGGAGAGAAAAGGTGTGTGTGTGAGAGCGAGCTCACACATGCAATAAATACATATATGCTAAAGGAAAAACCTGTGCACGGAGCAGCCACGGTTGTGGGAACCTCACCTCAGCACCAGTCTTTCCTCTCCCACTCATGCCTAAGTCAGCTCTGGGAGGCTCAAATCCACTGGCACCTAAGTGTGCTTTGTGGGTCCAACTATGGTTAAAAAGATGCACCTGTCTCTTGTAAGGTGTAGGGAGCAAAGAGAAGGAAGACCAGCACCTTTGAGAAGGTGGAAGAAAGCAGGGACAAAATGTCTTTTTTGGCTCTGCCGCCCCCACTCTGCTTTTGTCCACTACTTGAAGAAATAATTTGTATCCCTGTTGGGCTCAATCCTCTTTTTAGGAGTATTAGTGTTTCCTACTGCCTGCGCGTCCCCTGGTGAGCATAATAAAGCAGATGTCCCCGCTGGCAGCAGTAGCAGAAATAGTCCTTCGCCCTCAAAAAGTTGCGTTAGACTGGAGGGTGCTCAGGGTGCAAATTTACTTGCCTACCAGCACCTAATTGGAGCAATGTATCAAGTTTCCCCAGGCATTTGGGTAATGCCAACGATTGAATCCCCCCCCATCTACTTATGTTCTTAATTATGCTTACGTATTTTTATTACTGTACTTTACTTTCCGCTATAAATTTCTAAGCGACTTTTTATCGTGAGAAGCGATTCATAAATTTAAATATGCAGCATTCTACAAAGATGTGAAATTTGCATTGTATGGAATTTTGTATAAGCTAAACTCCTTAAGATGAAGTAGCTGCTGTACCCTCATAGCATCTGATTTTAAGATGCCTAAGCTTATTCTTTGCTTGCTTGTTAGAGCCACTACTAAGTTGAGTGGCTGAAAGGGAGACGGCAGAGCATACTGTGAGGCCCAGATTCAACTAATGCAGTGTGCTGGCGGAAGTCTGCAAAAGGGTTCCTGCTAGAAGTGCAATGGGTCTTCCCCCCTCCAAATCTGCTGCAGTGGGGAGAACCCTCCAGAACACATGTGTGTGTGGGGGGGGGGGAGGAACCATTCTTTGCAGCATGGAGAAATATGCTGACAGAAAGATCAGAAGAGCACAATGTTGACTTCCTCTCAAATATAAATTAAGTCAACTGCTTTGCCGTCCTTCCTTGATCTTTCATACACTGGACTGCTGGTGTATCTTAAGAGTTGGAAGATGAAAAAGGAATGTGAAAGCTTCTAGAAACTGATATGCAACCAAGTGTTTCACCCCTAACAGAAAAGCTCCAGTACAGAGCTTCAGCTAGTCAGCCTTGCAGGACACTATCTAAGCCAGCCTTTCTCAGCCTGTGGGTCCCCAGATGTTGTTGAACTACAACTCCCATTACCCCTAGCTAGCAAGGCCAGAGCTCAGGGATGATGGGAGTTGTAGTCCAACAACATCTGGGGACCCACAGGTTGAGAACCGCTGGTAGGGAACCTGTGACCCTCCCTCCAATTGTTAAAATACAATTTCCACCAGCTAAGGGAACTAGGCAAGCAGATGGAATAAGAGTCCCAACAGGAAGGCCACAGATTCCCCATCCCTACACTTAAGATGTAAGGGGGCCAAGCAAGCAAGCTCATTCCAGCCCATTTTCATTTTTTTCTACCTAACTCTCAGTGTTTGTAGTACCTTACTGGCCTGTTTCTATTTGTTTTCTTGTTTTGGAAGGGGAATTCCCCCTACCCCCTTTAATGCTGTGTTTTTGAAAAACATTTTTTTTGTATTTCTGGGGATTCTGCTGCCCCACTTGTTTAAGCCAGCACTGTTCATTCATGTAGAGAGAGTAATATGTGCCAGCTCACAGGAAATATGTGTAGAGAGAAACTCAGGCAATGCAAAATACATGACTTAAAAAAAAAATCCCAGTTAGCCCTTTATTATACTGCCATCACATCTTACTACTTTTAACTTCAGGATGAAGGCCCTTTTTCAAGAAATGCGGTTTGTTCTCTTTCCAGAGTATACCCTGAAGAACACAATTCATAAGCAAGCCTAAAGAAAAGTCTCAGAACGTGTTATGTCATACATGGATTTGTAAAAGGCTTGGCCTGGTAGTTTTATCGGACCAAACACACATTCTGGGTCACACCAGAGCCAAAACCCTGCACAATGCAGTTTATTTTAGCACAAAGGCAGTTAACAGTTTTTCAGAAACAGATGAGAGGCCGTAACCAAAGTTGTACAAAAATGTCTATATATCCAAATGTGTTTAAATTATGCAAGACATCCATGTTTTCTCCATCCTTTCGATTTGCAAAATTGGGACTTTTATGTAAATACTAGACATTTGGGAAAAGTGAAGAAGTTTAGATATTAACAGCATATACAGACAGTTTTTAAACTCCTAACTATATAAAATTATTACATCTGGACAAAAAACAACAACAAACCAGTCCAAGATTATCACGTTGCAAACATGATCAGCTTGTTGAAAAATATTATACTGGTGGTGGTGGGGGGGGGGGGCTTGAAGTGTCTCAGGTAAAGCCTGATGGCTATAAAACGCTCAGAATTAACAACTTATTTCACCTCTAAAATGGGAATGTTTTGTTTTTCAAAAAAACTCACCACAAACCTCCCCATGCAATACCCCAATAAAGCTAAATGTTTGTGTACTCATTATATATTATTAAAGCCTTTTACAATGTTCATCTCAGCCCCATTTAGCTGGTGAGACATGTTTTTTGACGCAAACAGATTGTCTTCCTCCAGGGCCATCTATTGTTCTGACATTAACTATTGCCAGATCATTGACAAACCTAGTCCAATATTGCCTCTTCTGTCTGGCAGAAGATGTTCTCTGCTCTATTGCTGGCTTACGGCTCCTCCCTGCAACTCCTGGGCCCTTCATCTACTGACAACTCTCGAGGCCTCAGGTCCTCCCCACTGCCCACCAACACCAAGACTGGCAGCCATTTCTGCCTGCTCAATTGGCAGGAATTAAGGCATGCTTCCAGCTTCCTAAAGCTGGGAGAGGGGGATGAGGAAGGAGGAAAGGTAATGGTGAGGAAAGTGCAAAAGAGCTGCCTGGGAAATTGTGAAGGAAGGACCTAGGATCCCTATCTTCCCTCAAGATGCCTGGGAAGGTAAGTATAGGAACACAGGAAGCTGCGTTATATCAAGCCATACCACACTCAGTACTGTTTATACTGACTAGTAGTTATTTGCCACGTTTTTCAGCCCTATCAGGAAATGCCAGGGATTGACAGTGGGGTCTTCTGCATGCCAATAATATGCTCTACTATCGCGCTACCACTTTTCTCCACAAAATTAACATTTATTGCAAGCAAATGCTTTTATCCTCTACTGATGCTTATCAACTATATCGGATAGGGGAACGGGGAAATCCACACAGAAACAGTTTCCCTGTGTGAAACTGCCTTCTCCACACCCAAAATTAAAGAGCTTGCTTACACATCATTGCAAAGTCAGTGACCTGGCTTATGCAGTTTACAAATCACAGAGTGAATTCATTTCAGTTTAGGCACCATCTTCTTCCCTTTGCAACAGGGACTTTTTGTTTTTTTGAGATTGGGAGAGAAGACACACAAACACTCATTGTGCGAGTCCAATATTTATGCGGTAAACACGACACCATAGGTCAGTTTGAATATTCTATGCTAGCCTTAAATTGAATGTATGTTTCAGGAACAGGAATCCTCATTCCCAGAGGCCGGTTTGTTACTATAGCAGTGATATAATTTAAGTGAGATCACCTATGTGAGACCACTCACCAATCCTGAAAAAGGACAAAGCGAAAGAAGCAAAGCCCTGCTCTAGTTAACTTTTTATTCTGTTCCAAACAGCCTCCTAGGAAATTGCTTGATGGCCACTAGTCACGGTTAATGTCTTTACTAAAGGCACTGATCCATTTATGTGTAGCACTGGCACACTTAGGACCTGTAGCCAAGAAGGATGGGCCACTAACACTAACTGCAAATGAGCCAGCCCATATGGCAAATGCATTTCTACGTGATAGGATCAGCACAGAGTAAGAACACAATTAAGGGTGCAATTCTAAACCAGGTGGAAAGTGAAGCTCCACTCTGACTAATTCGTCTTCCCAAAGCCCCCCTCCCCCTTACAAACCTGGTGCACAGGGTGGGAGAGCTGAATTGCTCTGAAAACACTGCATCACATCTGTTTCTAGCTGGAGTTCAGTACTGTATCATTCACAATGGCAAAAGTAAATATTTGTTTTGATGATCAAAAAGATCCCAGTGAATAAAAGTGAAAGCAAAGGCACAATGGTGTTATAGTTACCAAGTCAAGTCCTTCTTCCCCCCCTCGACCAGATAGTCACAATCTTCAGTTCTTCCCAACCCCTGTTCTCAGGAAGATATGCCTTTGTTGGTGGCATTGCAGTTATTTTCCTTTTACGCATTTGAAATTGGCTTAAATCGTATTAACATAGCTCCGGGTTGGTTCTGGTATAGATGTTGCGCAAAGCTCTGGAATTATGATGAGCAGTTGGGCTGGAATCAAAGTACAGCAACACCTGGTTTCAACAACAACAACAGTAGCAACAACAACAAAAATCTGTACTCCGGTGACACTAGGACTTCAAGTTGAAGTGTGAATTCAGATGCCTCAGAAAGTCCTCTGATGTACTAGATGGCGGAAAAACTTTCTGACAGAATTCACATATTCCAGTCTGATCAAGTTCTGAGTCTGCAGAAGGAAGTGCCAATACATCATTGTCTTGAGTGTGATATGGCTCCCAGAGCGGCTGTAAGAAGCAGAGGGTAGAAAAAGAAGAGTTATGAACGCAAATATTTCACCAGCTAGGGATGTTGCTGCTAGGTAGATCTAAATATGCGGCCTCAAATGAATACTCCTAGAATGAAATCTTGCCAATATTTTCATCAGCTAAAACATATATTCTTGATAATTCTGGATTGATAAATGTATATACTATACTTTCCTATTTCAATGCATGTTTATATCAGGGCACTGATATTCAAATTACATGAGAATTACGACTGAAGTGGTACCCCCATTTTAAAAATAAACACCAAGAAAATATATCTTACCAATCACTTTGATCATGTAACTTATGAGGGCATACAAGCAACTTGGATTTGGAGCTGGAACAAGCAACTCGGGCTCAGAAGGCTTTTAAAAATAAAATGTATATAATTTATGTATCTAATGTGTGAAAGTGTGCCTATGTACATGTGAGTGTGAGCATAGCAAGCCTCTATGTCATTCATATGTACCAGTATCTCTAAAATTCTGAAGCAAAGTGGTTTATTTAAAAAAAAAAGGGGGGGGGGAACACTCACAATTTCCCTGAGTAATTTTTTTGTCTAAACAATATTTAATACTGGCCACAATGCCTTAGCAGATTTCTGTTGTGGCCTTATTTCTTTTTACTCTGGTCAGTCATCAATCCACGAAGAACACAGGCTAATTAGGTGTAATTACATCAAGTTCTAACAAACAGTCTACTTTTCTGTTGGTGTAAATTGCTTCGGAAACCTGTCTAGGCACTGACGCGTGTTTTAAATATCACTGCGGAAGTGTGCTTTTAATTACTTATTTGCAACTCCACCTTGATTTAAACTGGCAGTTTTAATAACTGTAATAGGAGTCATGACTAGATGGCCACAATATGCATGCTGTATTTGAAATATTTGATCAAATTCACACCAGCTGGAGGGCCTTAGCTTGCAAGTATTTTACTCATTGAGTTTTGAGCTTGATTCAGGCAGGCTCTACTTCAGGGTTCTTGCCTAACACACATTTATTCAGGATTTTTTATTATTTTATTGTAGATGACATTCAGCTGCTACTGTAATTTTTATTTTGGATCTCTGCTGGTAACCCCACCCAATAAAAGTATGGCTACGAATATTTGCAAGAATGTTATTGTTAGAAGTGTGAACCAATTAATTATCTGCCTTTTAACTGACTGAAGTTGTGGTAACATGAGAACTGATTGGATTAATCAATGCTGGTGCTTATTTTTAAGATACTGAAGAAAGCATGCACTTAAAAACATGGCTTTCAGTTTGTGAGCGCTTGCAGTCCTAAAGATGAATTATAGCTCAAAATAAATTAAACTATGCAACCTTCCCCCTGCCAAATAACACTCATGCAAATGTTGAAGTGTTGTGTTGAACTGGAGCTACATGCACACATTTACATGGATGAAAATGCTCTTAATGTTTGTTTGTCTCAAAATCAGGAGCCCTGCTTGCTAGACTAGCTCCCCAGACGACACAGAATGAAGGGATGAATCAAAATCCTAATCCTTCAATTCAGTCTCTACTCCTGTTTTCAGTATTACAGTTTTCAATCCAGGTGTTTAAGAAACTGCTATATACTAAGGAAGCAGGCTCAAGTTTTTATATTTAGTGTCTGCAAGGAAGAGCTAAATTTATTACATCAGCTGAGAGCCACAGCTCTAATGACTTACGGTTGCCAATTACACTGCATTTAAGTTTCCTCTCCTCGTTGTTATTTGTTAACACATGCACTAAATGCATGACAGAAAGCTCTTGTCTACAGGAGGGGTGGGAGAGAATATCAGGCAAGTAAGATGGCACTATCAGGATGTCAGCAATGGTGAATAGTATAGAACAAGGACTTATGTGCTTTCAATGTGTCTTCAACCTGGCCATTTTTTACCATGCAAACGGGATGGTGGGTTGACCCAAGCTGTCTTTGTGTGAAAGTGAAGCCATGTTCTCCACCGGGAATTGCTGTCACTGTCTTACAAAGTACATTTCAAATCAGACCCTGCAAAGGTTTCCAGGCCAGCTCTACAGTTCGTATGGGCAAGCATGAGGCTATCATCGCAGTTCTCTCAGTAACAGGGACAGAGCCCTTTTAACATGCCTTGTGAATTGGGACCCTTATTTTCAGCAAGTATTTTGTGACTCCATTTTTCACATTTTCCCTACTGCCGCTAAAAAGAAAGGGGGGGGGGGCTAAGCACACATTTTCAAATGATGGAAACTTTATGCAACCTATTGTTAACTGGATTCAAAGTGATGAGATTTTGCATCTGTTAAAAAAAGAATCACCCTTAAACTAAAAAGGTACGAAAACATTGAGGAAGCAACAAGAAAGGTAACAAAATGTTTAGCAAATCTATGCAGCTGTCAATTTAGAAGATTTTAAAGGAACGGTGGCTTTTATTTGCCTAGGTGATTAGAGAAAATGCACAACTTTAATCAAAGACCTTCCTGTATACAACGAACAAATATCGGAAGTATTTTCTGTCACCAGTTGTCTCTCCAAATGTAGACACATAAAATATCAAGGCTTCCTGGCTACTACTAAATTACAGCACAAGCCACTTATATTTTAAAATGTAAGCTTTTCCTTATTTTTCAAGTATATGAATTTTTATAGTCTCACGCCCTGCACATTCTGACAGTTCAACACCAATTCTTATGCACTTTTAAAGCTGCATGCTTCTCTATCAACTTGCAATCACATACCAGCTGTTTCACATGCTTTAATATACAATGCAGAGTGCCATCTACTGAGAAATGAATAGTTAAAAAAACAAGCAGGAGACATGATGGAGAAAAAGAGGAAGAAGAACGAACAGATGATTTACAAACCACAGGAATCTCAGTGGTAACAGAAGAAATAGTTTCATTTGCTTTGATTCAGCCCAACTCAGAATTTGGTGCGGTAAAGACAAAAGCAAAAACTATCCAGGCATCAAATAATTCAAATGCAAAATCTAGACCCCTAATATAGGATGAAAAAGGAAACTAGTATGAATATATAATAGATAGTGCATTACCAAACTGCAGGTCATCATTATTATTTTAGGATGTAATAGATTGAAGGCACACTCAGGAATTTGGGCATATGTGTCTAAAATTAAGAGTGCTACAATGAACTTGGGAAAAAGTAAGAGGTGTAGCTCATTAAATCTTCAATAATTTGTAGCGAGGATCCATTACTCATAAAAGTGGTGACTGTAATTCATGACTACATTAACACTACGCAGTGTGATCAATATGCCTCTTAAAACCTGCGCACGCTTGCACTTTAATTCATCTGCTTTCAACAGGGTTAGTCGATTTAGATGACAGTAACGCCACGGTAAGTATGTTAAACAGATCACAGCAGAGTTTTTAAGAGGTATTTGCAAAAAATGACGGGCATGCTTATCAGTTTTAATATGGATCATTTCAGATCAAACTATATCCTCTCATTCTGTGACTGCCGAAAATGGCAGATCATCATCAAATAAGTTCACATGGGTTTAAACCAGATGTAGCACATGGGTTTAAACCTGCCAAGTTCCAAGAGGTTAACTCCCTATAAGTGTGTATAGGATTTCAGCCTAAAATAAACCAAAGGAGGTCCAATCTGCCACTAGCAACAGATCTTGAGAGGCCACCTCCCTTTTTCTTAAACATTGGAGAGGCAGCGCCATGAGAGAGGAGAGAAAGAAAATAAGAAAACTGGGGGTAGGGGGAGAAGCAGCCTGCAGTGAGGGGTGGAAAGAAAGGAGCAGACAAAAGGATGGGAGAATGGCAAGTAGCCAAATAACTTTTTTGGGTGAGGTTTGAGGAAGCCAAACTGGAGTCACTTCCGAACTGAAGCCATACATGTTGCCTGCTCACAAAACTGCCTAATGTGGAAGGATTACATGCACACAAAAATTCAGCAGGAAGCTAAAATAAATGAACATTGGTTTTGTACATATGAAGCAGGAACAGTTATCAACTTAGAACTGACCCTGGAACACGGAAAAGTGCATGCACGTGTCTTTCATCAGCTTCTCGCTCCATATTAAAAAAGCGGTTGTGCGATATGTGCAGGGGCTTTTGAAAAAAAAAATCCTCTGTGCACATAATCCAGAGCAGACTCCCAAAGCATGGATGAGAAGAAGCAGTGTGCAATGGTTAGAGCGACAGGTTATGGCCTGAGAAGACATTGAGTTCAAGCCCCCATTCAGCCTTGACTCTCGGTCACTTTCTCAGCCTAAGCTACCACAATGGATTAGGAACATAGGAATCAGGCTCCTACTAGATCAGACTATTTGTCCAAATAGCCCTGTACTGTCCACTCAGACTGGCAGCAGCAGTTTGCCAGGCAGAGATGTGTCTTTCCCATCACTTTCTTTTAATGGGAGGTGCCAGGGACTAAATCTGCAAACTCCTGCATGCACTGAGCTATGAGATGATAAAAGGGGTGGGAGAAAGACATATAGGCACAAATAGAGAAAAGGCAGAATAAAAATGTAATAAAAAACAAACAAAAAGAGCTTCCCTGTTTTCTACAATTCCAGAGATGACTATGCACACGCACCTACAATGTACACACAGAAATGCCTGGAAGAAAACCTGCACTGACTGGAAGAGAGGTGTGTACAACAGACTGCCTGTGTGGGCATTTGGCCTGGGGTCTACATACAAGAAACGAGCTTAAATATACTCTTCAGTTATTCAAATATCCCTAGCTAGAAGGCCCAAAAAGATTAACTTGCAGCCTAGTTTCAAAGCATGCTGCATCAGCAGATGGAAGGCTTAGAATAGGGAATACCGGCTGCTGGTCTAAACACAATATCACAAATTATGACGTTACAGTGGTGGCACAATGATATCAGGCCGTTGTGCTAATGCAAACGTTTTGAATCAGAGCAGTGGGCAGATGGGATAATAAATGTTGCACCGGGTACGCATTAGGTTGAGCAAGTTCAGCTACCTGCTCAGTTTTACAGCTTTACAGAATCATCACCATCATATGTAAACACAAAAGGAAATAGAAAACAGCAGATACCTGCTGAGGGACTCCAACAGGGCTCTTGTTATCTTCTAAAGACGGAAGTTTTATTTCAGGGATATCTTCATCTGGAAAGACAGTGGCTCCAAAGTTGTATGCATAAGGCACTTGAAAACACAGAGGGTTGTCCAAAGGACTCTGTACGAGTGCGTTTGTGTGGGCGGCTGATGATTTGGCTGGCAGGTTATGTGCGGCTGAAGTGCTTGAGTCAATGCCATGGCCCTCAAACATGTTGCGCTTCACCTCGCTGTAGCTGTCCTGGTCTCCAAGGTCCCTATGAAACGGCTGATCTGGAAGCATGTTCTCAGTCATCACAAGACAGGGGATTCCTGGAGCATCTGGGGTGCTCTCCAAGAAAGCAGCATCGTTGTCTATGGGCGGGAACTTGACATTAAACTGAGAAAGGGACTCCACAGAGTTTTCTTCCTCGTCCTGCCCCATCCCGCTTGGAGTGGTGGATGGGAAGTGTGGGGCACCTCTGTTTAGATCCTTTTTAACCCAAGGATTACAGAGGTCATCTGCTTGTTCATCGGTGCACTGGATAGGTGTGGAGAATGGAATTTCTGTAAAGACAGGTGAAAAGGAAATGATTAAACAGTACCTAAGTCTCAGGTTTAAAGCACGTAACTTCAACTGCCTGACAAATTTAATTTCCCCAAAGACCAGCATGGTCAATTTATCAGCTTGACACACCACAGACTGATACTGTGACTCCTCCATGCCAACCCATTGACTCCCCTATACAAGAATAAAATTTGCCAGAACTCTTGTTTGGGGCCAAAATTTCAGGCCCTGCAATTGCCCTTGTGCCTTGCCATGCCCAACGCTCTCCACTAACAAGATTTATATACCGCTTAACCAACAAAACTTCTAAGCAGTTTCCCTAAAATGTTATGATTTAAATATTAGATATACTATATTTCATTTCCATAAACTATTAGATAATATTAGATGTTTAAAAACAAGTTAGGCTAAAACTTCTCAAAATAAAATCCATTCGCCAGGCTTGTTTTTTAGGGGGGTGGCTGGGTCTCTCTCACTACTTAAGATAGAATATAATGATGACATTTATATTCCATGTTATACAGAAAGCATTTTCTAGACACTATGAATAACTCTACCTATTATTGCGATTTCATTTTGGCAAGAATTGGGTTGCGTCACAGATAATTTGTCTCTAGCTGAGGAATGACAGGTGACTGGATTGGTGTGTGTGTGTGTTTCTTAACAAACTGTGGCTTATGCAACCATTTCAACACACGCCTAGTGCCTAGCCATTCACATCCATTTGCCACAGGCTGCCTTCAGTCCACTTTTGGCAAGCTACAAAAAAAGCAACTTAAATGCAGGTTAACTGTGGCGCACCAAAAAGGCAAACCTGAACTGAACTGAGCGGTACATGGCTATCACCAGCTCAGCACATGCTGGCCTCCTCCTATGGATGCTGCGCAATGAAGTTAGCTGTAAATGCCAGTACTAGAAATTAGGTGCAGTTACTGTTAGATGACAAAAGTGTGGTATACAAGGTTTTGAGCAGCAACAAAACCAGTGGTTTAGATCAAAGATGCTCCCCAGAAGCATCTAACCAGTCGTTGTTGGGAGTGCTGGTGTTGGTCTCTTATGAGAAGGATTGAAAAATGTTTATAAAATAAAGACAGTAAACAGAATTAGGCTGCAATCCAATACCCAGTTACCTGGGAGCAAGCCTCACTGAACTCAGTGGGGATTCATTCTAAGCAGACACGCCTAGCACTGCATGCCTTAATCTCCAAAACAAAATGCATTAATTCAAAGTGCACGCAATAAGCTCAGAGCATTGCTGCACAAGCCCTGCCAAAATCAGTTTACGTTACAGACAGGTGCTCCACTCTCCTGCTTCAACAGAAATTGAGCATCTAAGGTTGTGCGGCAAACTGCAGCGAGGCATACACAAAGCAGATATTAAAATGCACTCCGATAGGTATCTGCATCCTCGCCTTTCCACACAACAGGCCAAAAACCTGCCGTATAAATTCTGATCTATATTTTTGCTCCCAGCCAGATAACTAAAGGCAGCGTCACTGATCATGTTGTTATCGAACGGAGGTGATCTCTGTACGGCAGATAGGTGTGTGGGAGAGAGAAAACAGGGGCAGCCTTCACTGGCAAAGGGAAGAAAGAGCGTTCACTGTGTTGCAAGCAGATAGGTCAAGAAAAACAAGGCAACAGGCAGCTTCTCAAGACATGCACTTGCAGCAAAATGAACAGCTACATCACACTGCACAAGTGACGTGTGTGTGTGTGTGTGTGTGTGTGTGTGTGTGCTCTCTCTCTTTTTCTATCAAACACACACACATTTCTTTTTATATTTTGGTCACCAGGGTTATTGCAATGTAGGACCATTTCATCAATTATAGAGTGCCACACAAAAGTCAGGGCAAGTCCTGGGTAGCGTTGGAAAGCGCATGCATCATATACATCATATTCCAAAAACGAAGCATGTTTCCCCCCCCCCCCCCAACTGAAACAGCTGAATCACAGTAAGAGCTGCAGTAAAGCGATACCAGTTACAGGTTCTCTCCGTAGTTTAAATTTACTCAGCTGGTCCGTCTGTGCTTTAGCTAGTGCGCGTATGTGATGAAATTCTTCCTTCATGCCCCAGAAAACAGCCTCAAGTTCGTCCCTTCCAAAAATAAAATAAATAAAAATACATTATTTCAGATATAAAGCACCACGTTCTGTTCCACTCTTTTGTCTTTATCAAGCCTAACCCTGGGAAATTTTGGCACCCGCTATACCTGAAAGCCAGACTCAGGGAATGGAAAGAGACGTGATGTACGAGATCTGCGACCTGATATTGCAGCGTTGTTGTTGTTTTTTTAGAAAAACAATAATCTGTAAAGCAGCTGGCGTGTGTGTTGTCGTCTCCCATTTTGACTGCATTTAACCATTTCCCCCTGCACAGTCTCCTCGATCTAAATGGCTGCTATGACCCCCTCTGGGGAAAACAAACATATAGGCATGGCATAGGTACTGCACTCGTCTTTTTCTCTCTTTCTCTTTCTCCAGTAGGCCTTAATACCAGTGACTGGGAGCCAGTTTATACTAGGGAAACGGTGCAGATAGATGTGTACTAAAATCGCAAGCACCGTTGCTCTGATTAACAACAACACCACCACCACCACAGAGTGCTCCAAGAACGGCTGTGTGCACCTTTCACAAAGCAGTCTCTGCCATGGATGGAGACAGGCAAACCCTGAGCAGGGCTGCTGTGGTACATAGCACAAGAGGCCCTAGTAGGGAAGGTAGTGGCAGAATTTGCCCGTTCCCCCTCCAGAGTGATAGAAGCTCTGAAATGGGGAGCTCCAGCTCAGCTCCCGAGTCCCTCCTTGTTTCAGGGCTAGAATGCCCAGGTGAAAACAGGTTCATGAACACTAAAGGGGGCAAGCGAGGGCACAGGTTGCAACCGCTCCTTTGACCAAACCTGCCGATGCTCAAAAGTGGCTCTAGTTACCTTTTTTCAATATTTAGTGGTGGCAAGGGAGAACAGGAGCACTCCTGACTTTTTAAAAATCAGAGAACGAGGGTAAACATGAGATGATTACTAAAAAGAAAACAGGTTCCTTAAATAAATAAAAAAATAAGGGGGGAGGGATAAGTGTGATGTACCTTTCACAGGCAGCTGTACCGAAGGCCCCCGGAGATAATTCCTGCCTAGATGAAGCATGTTTTCCATTCCTTGCCTTTTAAAAAAGATCGTAAGTATAAACAAAGGAAGAAGCTTGCATTTATAACAGCCTAACAAAATGAATCAACACATTAAACAGGCGCGTACAGTAGCAGCTTAACAATGGCACTAGCCTTCCCCTCCCCTTTTAATATAAAAAAGTAAAATGCAATCGTTCTAAATAATGGCTTGGAAAATGTCTTAGATGGAAATTGAACATGTCCACATCCTCATTTACATGAAGGCACCAGAAGATTCCCAAAGTATTTGGGTGGATGTTGAGATGAGTGGGAGAGGCTATATACACTGATACAGAGCTTACACAGAGGACATAGTTAATCTGCAGCTCCAATAGTTAATTCTCTGAGCTTCATTTCCTTTTCATTAGAAGATTTTGTCATTATTCACCCCCCCCCCCTTTTATGGAATATTTTTGCTTCAATGTTTTCTCGTATTTGATCCAATCCTCTTCAAACAAATGATAAAACTGGGACAGAGAGCCACAAATTCTACACATCAGATCATAGCTATATATATATATATATATATATATATATATAGCCAGAAAACTATCAGCAGAGACTCTACTACATACCTTCAATAAGCTGGGCCAGGGCTGAGACCGTGTGTTTTATCATGCATGAAGAGAAGTTATTATATTTGACTACCACCTTGTGGGTTAGCACAGTATTACATGGGCGTTTTATTCAAAAGCCTGAAACTCAAGTTATTACGATAATCCGTCTTTTATATGGCTTTCAGAAACTTTGAAAGGTTGTCTGGCAAAATGAAGCTAACGTATTTGTCTCTGAAGCACAAACACAAAAGGCAAGGCTGAATGTGCACTGGCTTTCCAAAACCATACTCCGCAACAGGTAGAAAAGCATTTGAAAAACGACTGCTTCCAAATTATATGCAAAAAGGGGGAGGGAATAGAGCATGTGCATAATACACATGCGCCAAAGAGCCCAAATACATGGCCTAATCCTCATTCTACAAGGAGCATCTGCATGAACAATTTCCATATGCATACAGTGTTATTTATAGGCAGAGATTTGGGCCTCCCTCCCCTTGATAATCTTACCTCTTTCTCGTTTCTTGGTCCTGGCATGGAATTTTGTGCCTCACTTATTTCTTTCAGCTGTTTCTTCAGAAGCCGTATTTCATCTTCTTTGATGGCGATAATAGATTCAAATTTCTTTTCTTTTAAATTGCTTTCCTCTTCGGTTTCTTTTAACTTTACACTCTCACCGTCCAATTGTTCCTGAAACAGAAAGAAGCACATACAGCACAGTTGGCTAATTTCTCAGTCTTTTGAGGAATGCCGTGGCAGAATAGACTACTACAGGCTGAATTAAGTCTTAGCAATTTGTGAAAAAGGCAAATTCCACGTCAGGGATCATTAGGGAAAGGATCGAAAACAAAAGCTGCCAAAATCGCTAACACCTTTGTGCAGATGTATGGCCCCACCCCACGGCGTAGCGTGGGTTGTCAGCACCCGGGGCAAGGCAAGTAATTTGCGCCCCCTAACCCGGGGCAAGGCACGTAATTTGCGCCCCCTAACCCCTAACCTGCCGCCGCTGCCAGCTTCTTCTTGCTGCTGCCTGGGCTGGTCTGGTGTGGTTCTCTCCCGCGCTCAGTGCTGCGCTGGGCGGCCGCTGCACTGTCCCCCCCCAGATAGTCCCTCGCTCTCTCCGCACCGCACGCCTGGCACCCAGCCCCTCCACAGTGGGCAGTGACCCAGCGGCTCGGATCGGATTCGCACAGCCAGCACTGCAGTGAGAGAGAGTGAGTGAGCCAGGTAGGGGCAGAGAGCTGCGAGTGCGAGCGCGCCCCCCCCAGATGTTGCACCCGGTGCGGCCGGCCCCCCCTGCACCCCCCACGCTACGCCACTGGCCCCACCCAGTACATTACTTGGAATCTGGCATACAGTTCTGGCTGGTGCACTTCCAAAAGGATATTGCAGATCTGGGAAAGGTTCAGAAAGGGGCAAGCAAAATGATCAGGTGAATAAAGCAGCTCCCTTATGAGGAAAGGTTACAATATTTGGGAATTCAAAGTATGGGGGGCAGGGGGGGAAAAGGCAAGTGAGGTGTATAAATTTATTTATTTAGTTTGACTTACATACTGCTTGCTTATGAAGAACCTCAAAGTGGTTTACAAAAGCGTATCGTTTCTATGGGAAATTTCCAACCAGTGTGGTCTGTAGATGTTACACATGGGTGAAAACAGCACCCACCTCAGACATATAATTAGTTGACATACTCAAAATACAGCCTGATCCACACATTCGGATCCCCTTGGCATTTTAGCAAATTTCCATCTCGTGTGGTGGAGGAAAATGCTCTTTCCCGACAGATACCCTCCAAAAGCAAAAAATCTTAAATATTCACTGGAGCAGGGGGACGGGATTTCTGAATCGAAGAAGTCTAATAGTTTGCTAAAAAATAAATACTATGGAGAAAGTAAGACAAAGAGAAGTCTTTCTGTCTCTTTCATAATACAAGAACGAGGAGGCCATCCAACAGAGGTGAACGCTGGGAGATTTAGGACAGACAAAATGTGCTTCCTCATAGAATCCTTTTGTTTAAATAACTGTTTTGTTGCAGATGCCTTTGTGTGAAACACACAATTGAGCTATGGAATTTGCTATCATGATGGCCACCTATTTAAGATGCCTTTAAAACAGGATTAGACAAATTTGTGTATGATAAGACTCTCTTTGGGGTTCAGCATGCCTCTGAATACTAGTTCCTGTGGAGCCACAATGGGAGAGGAGTGAATGCATTTGGGGGCTTCCTATAGACACCTGGTTGGCTACCGTAGCAAATGAGATGCTGGACCAGCGTGGTCTTTAGTCTGATCAAGCTGGTCCTTCCTTTATATATCTTTAAAATGAATTCAGCCCTGTACGCACTACCCCATCAGGTTAGGCTGAAATAATTAATAACCATTTATGGCAGCATGAAGTTACATCTCATTGTGGACAATTATTCAAAACAATTGTGCGTTATTTTGAATACTGAAAATAGTCACCATATTAGTGCCTATAAATGTGGGAAATGTTGTCTCATTCCATTTATACACTCTGCTCACTAATATTTAATTAGTTTTAGGATGTGCAGGAATCAAGATAAAGTACATTTAAAGAAGGTGACAATAGTCTTCAAGGGTTGTAATTTCTGGAACAGTTGGAATGTAGCTATTTAGCACTTAATGACTTAGGATTTTTGCAAGACTCAAGCTATAAAACTTCAAAAGGGGAGAAATTAGGGCTTTTAAAAAGTCGGCTCCTGCAATGTTAAACCATTAATTTTCGATATAGGATGACATTCTATACAAAAAGCGGGGGGGGCGCTCAGCAAGGAGTTGGGAAGAGAAAAACCATGAAGTTATAGCAGCAGAAAAATTGTCTTTTTTTAAAAGGCTGAATTTTCCAGCTCTCAAGGGTGTATGACATTTGTCAGTTGTTGTTTTTTTTGTTTTTTACAAAAGGGAAACAGAACCATAATTCACTCAGCATGTGTGTGTAAACTCATTTTTTTTTTTTTGCAGGGTAAGTGGGAAAGAAAGGCACATGCAAGGCATAGTCAGAAACGAGGAAATAAAGAGCGCCCTAGATTTTTAAAAATGACACAAAATCAGGGAGCTGATGCTGCAAAGGAAACTTGAGAGGCCTTGTGCTCCCATAGGATTTTGTCTGTTTATACGACGACGACTAAAATATCTGAAATAAATTTGCTACTGCTCAAACTCTGAAAAATAAAACAATATTATCAAAGCAAGCAACGTCCTTCACCAGACATTTATATTTGGTTAAAATAAAAAGGTTCATCTGACCATAATGGCCCTTGATCCAGAGTGTGTTATTTGGCCAACACCGCTTACAGTTCATCCCACAATGCTGGGTAAGTCCCTCCACTGAGAGCTGAGGGAAAGATTCCTTGCAGGAGTTTTGGCTCTCAGTCACACCATGCTAAATACCGTCCTTTCGTTATTGCTGCACTCCATGCCAATGGCAAAAATAACAGAAGCCTCATGAGAGATTTGCTCTTTAAGTGTAAAGCAGGACCAAACGTAAAGGTTCTTGCAAGCAAGAGAAAAAGAAGGCTAGCAAATGTTCTTACAGCACCACCTTCTGCCTCACGATCTCCTTTTCCTTTTGCGACTTCTACTGGGCTAAGGGGCCAATTCAAACACTTCACAGAAATGAAGGCCGCCAGTGTGTCTACCCAGTGTTAGGATGGCACCTGAGGCAGGAAAAGCGACTCCACGGAGCCAGCCGAGCTTGGCGCATCCCACATCCCACTCCAGGAGAAAAGGACATTGCAGAGAAATACTGTACTTTTCCGCGTATAAGACGAGGTTTTTTCATGTTAAAATAATGTGAAAAAATTGGGGTTGTCATATATATGGGTAGTGCAGAGGAGGGGGCACAAGGGATTGTTTGTTACCGCGACCAGGAGATTGTAAGTGGTGATAGTGCGGGTGATTGGTGGCTGCGGCAATGGCTGCTGCTGAGGCAATTGTGTGGGTGATTGGCGGTGGCTGACAGAGAGCGGTCAGACGATTGGTGTCTTCTGTGCCGCATGCTATCGGAAGTGTTGGTCAGGCGGGTCAAGAACTCTGGGCAATCCTCCCCCCCAAAAGCTCAACAACTCTGGGCAATCTCCCCTCAGTTTCTTAATTCTGAGTTTCCAAAAATAGGGGGAGTCTTATACACGGGGGCGTCTTATACACGGGAAAATACGGTAGCTAAGCCCTGCCCATGCACCCAGAGCTCCACTGCCCCAGGCCATTGCTTCTCAGGCCTGTTGCTCCATGCACAGCCCTGGCAGTCAGAACGGGTCTGGTGCTCAGCCAATTCTAACAGCGACAAAACAAAACAAAAGCGTACTCTCAACAGGAAGCCTCGGCAATCTCATCTCTCTCTCTCGGTGCCATCTCTCTGACAAGTGTAGCTGTTTCTAAACACCTGTTGGCTGCATTCACAATTTATATTTTAGGTGCGCTCTTTAAAAACGCAATGTGCGAAGTAATCCTAAGGCAATTACCTTCAATGACTCAGTGTCAGACGGAAAGAAACTCAGTAAGGTTACTCGGGACAGACTTGGTTTGATGCAATAGATGAAAGGGGCTTTTCTCTACAGTCCCCTGTGGCTGCCCTCTTCCTCCCAGAGGTTTGATCACCCAAGCAATTTTCAGCTGGAGGTCTAGAAGTGTGGCATCAAAGCACCACCCGTGTTCCATTAATGTGAGCACAGTCGGACCTTGGTTGTTGAACGCCTTGGCACTTGGATGTTTTGCCTCCCAAACGCCGCAAACCCGGAAGTAAGTGTTCCAGTTTACGAACGTTTTTTGGAAGCCGAACATCCGTTTCGCTTGTTGTCATTGTTTCCGGGACAAATCAGCCAATCATAAGCCGCACCTTGGTTTGCATCTGTTGAACAACCAAGGTATGACTGTATTGAGATGTTACAAGATCACACTTCCATCTCCAAAATGTGGTGTAGTGGTTAAGAGCAGTAATCTGGTGAACCGGGTTCGCGTCTTCGCTCCTCCACATGCAGCTGCTGGGTGACCTTGGGCCAGTCACACTTCTCTGAAGTCTCGGAGCCTCACTCACCTCACAGAGCGTTTGTTGTGGGGGAGGAAGGGAAAGGAGAATGTTAGCCGCTTTGAGACTCCTTCGGGTAGTGATAAAGCGGGATATCAAATCCAAACTCTTCTTCTTCTCTTCAAAGAGCCTTTGGCCATCGTGGCAAATTGTAGTCTGACCAGGCAGACTTAAACGGATTGCTCTAAGGCAGGCATGTCCAACCGGTCAATTGCGACCTACTGGTCGATTGTAGGATGTTCCTGGTCAATCCTGGTTGATCTTGGCATCCTTAGCGATCACCAGCCCCCCCCCCCCAGCTTAACAATTCTGTTCTCTCCTAAAAAAAGCTGGGCAATGACAATGGGTAGATCACTGCCAGTTTTATTATACCGGGAGTAGATCGCAGTCTCCAGATAGGTAGATGTGCCTGCTCTAAGACATGCCTTATGCGGCAACTCTTCCTATCTCAGTTCAGGTTTTATGGGCTACCACGTGATGGAGGTGGGCAGCAACTCCTTCTGGATTCAAGTCATTGTAACTCCAGTTTTATCAATCATATTTAGCAAGAAAGCTGTGACCATGTTAGCCTTTCTCACCCCCATTAAACTTCATTGAATTGTTTTCATTATACATATAAAAACCCCAAAAATCTAAATAAAACCAAAACCAAAAAAAGAAAGAGAAAATGCAAAGTCTGCTATCAAAGGTAGAACTTAATCCTTGTCTCTTACTATTAGTCTTTGAAAGCTTTTGTGAAATTGAAAATGGACACCAAGACTGGATTCAGACATGGATCTAGCAACTAAGCACCATTTTCCGAATATTGGATTGTGTGGGCCCATGTGCATACAAAGTAAGGTGGATGCACATATCTTCCATCCTTGTCTTCCATCCTTTCTACCTTTTCTAAACTGGGTGCACAGATATCCATATTTAAGCCTGTACAGATGTCACACCATGTGTGTGACCAGGGGGTGAACACGTGACCCTTCCAACATATTTATAGTATCGCTGATTTGTAACTGTGTAAAAGACTGAAGAACAGTCCAAAGATAAGCAAACAAAAACAGAATCAGAAGTGAAAGGAAGATTTTGGCACTGGAGTGTTCAAACATTATGCCTTGCAACCCAATCTTAGCACAACAGGTCTTAATTTTAAAAAAACAACACATTGGAAAGAAGAACTTCACTTCCTGATCTGGTGTCATAAGAGAATTGTGTGTGTAGGGAGAAAAGGGGGAAAAAATGAACTAGCTATAGTAAGTCAAGTCAATAAAAATTTAGCAGGTAGCACTAAAAAGCAAGAAATGAGTACCCAGTGAGAATGAAAAAAGACAGAATGCTGGCTATAGGACACACTGCCACAGAGAGAGAGTGTGAGGAACTGTAAATATCACTGGTACCTCGGTTTACGAACAGTCCTGTTTACGAACAATTCTGTTTACAAACTCTGCAAAACCGGAAGTAGTGTTCCAGTTTGCGAACTTTACCTTGGTCTACGAACGGAAGCTGAACGGTGGAAGGGCACCAGTGGCAGGAGGCCTCATTAGGGAAAGCGCACCTTGGTTTAAGAACGGATTTGGTTTAAGAACGGACTTCAGGAACGGATTTAGTTCGTAAACCAAGGTACCACTGTATATGCGTTCATGAATAGACTTTGCATTTTCACAGAGCATTCTATGCACGTCCAAAACCAGTTGACAGCTTGCCATTTGAAATAGTGCAACTATGTAGGCAACTATTAAAGAACTATGTTGCTCCCCGCTGTTACCCACGTAACTACTCTGTTCTCAACTCATATTGCTGGCTATTCAAAGGTTTTTAGGAGGGCAAACTGATAACTAGACTTCATAGCAGAGTGAGTCAAATGACGAGTGTCTTCAGCAAAACAAGGGTAAGAAAAATACACTTATAAAACGACACGCTATCCATATCTGTATGAGTGCTGTGCCAAGCGTCTCTCCTGATTTTTCACTCTTTATCAATCAATGAGAAGAAAAGTTGCATTTGAAAATTATCAAAGGAGATAAAAACGTTGGTGAAAAATCTCGTGGGTGGGGTGCTTACCTTATCTTTGGGGTGACAGAGGGGCGTTTGTGAGCATCTTCTCTTTCATTCTACATCATCTCACTAACGGCCTGCATTCTGAAGTCTCCCCAGCTTCCCAAGTGTCAATTAAAGCCCAAGAAATGTTCCCATGGGACTTTTTCAAACGTGGAAGTGCGGGCAGCCAGGGAGGCTGCAGCACACTGGAGAAATGTTTGTGGGAAAGAACAATGCACGCACACCACCCCTTGGCCAGCTCAAAATGACAAGCTCAGCTGAAAACCGTGCACCACCTCAAATTCCAAAGAAATTTTCAAGTGCCCAGAGAAGGCAAAGAGAACTGGAAGCCTTTTCTGCAGAAGTAAACCTCGTTCCAGTTCCCTCCATTGCCAATTCTGCATTATCTGTAGCAACAAGATTTCTCATCTGCTGAACAAGCTGGAGACTTCAATGCCATTCAGATACGTAAAAAGAACACTGGAAAGAGTCACAGAACCAGATCATCAACTCTTCCACGTTGGCATAACTTGGGCAACTTCACCGTAAGTGCAGAAATTTACCAGGCTTAATCAATGATAAAGGAACAATAACAGGCACAAATGTGGATGTTGCAATAAGTCCCCCATCCTGACATGACTGCAAGGAGGTTGGAAGTTTTCACTTCCTTTTTAATTAACCATAGTTTGTGTGCCATCCGTACCCTAAGCTGTGCGATCTGTCGAAGCAAGCTCATGGTTTGAAGTTGGCTTATTTCTAACAAACCATAATTATGATTCATCACAGTTTGTCTAGTTCAAATGTGATGCTTATCATGCCATTATTATTTTTATTTTAGAATTATCTTGTGAAAAGCATCCTACCTTTAAAAGCTTCTCTCTTTGCATTGCCAACTGCAGCTTTTCATACAGCTGATCAGCATTCAAGTTCAGTAACGTACCATTTCTTCTGGTTTCGCTGTCTTCTGGTAGGTGGTCATGCACATATGAAAAAAACCCAAACATAATGGTATATCATACATGGCGTTTCACACATGGCATACAACAGGGAATCAAATAATGCAACTTCCACAAAATCAGGTTGGGATTGTTTTCGGTACATGCAGATAATCTCCATATAGGAAAATAAGTGCACACTAACATTTGAAGTACAGTGCAGTTTCCTCCTTAGATAGACAAGGCAGCAGTTTTGAGACTTGAGCATGCTTAACACAGTATAGCACTGCAATCTTCTTAAAATGATGCCTTCTAGGAACTGAAGAATGCCATGTGATATAAGTATTTATTTTCAACCTGCTCCTCTTAAAACTATTCAAACCCTTCATCCCCCATTCCTTTTTTCCTATGGAATGCTTTTTCTTTCTTTTTTCTCTCCCTCTTTATTATTTAGCTTTTTATACTCCCATTTTCTCTTTTCATACAACTGCCCACTCCTCTCCCTTATAGATTCCTTCTCCAGAAGCAGGACTTTGCCAGGACACCCCAAGGCATGGTTGCAGAAGCAGGTGCTTGAAGGTATGAAGTGACCTAGACATTGTTCTCCTCAGCCCTTCACTACTGAGTAATCACAATCAGCAACCATTCACTGGCCCCTTAGTCCAGATACATAATAAAAAAAGCAGTTTGTGTTGGGGAAACCCAGTGGATTGTGGTGGTGTAGATAGATAGATGATAGATAGATAGATATAGATTTGAAAATTACCTACCTTTGTTGCAGCTCAAAGAAGCCAACTGTGAGTTGAGTTTTGTGACAGTGCTTGTAAGAAATACAATTTGGTTTTGTTGTTCACATATCTGCTTTTCATAGCTGTCTGTCTGTAAAGATAATTTAATTCGAAGTAGTCATTTTGTGACGACAACAGGCTAACACAGGGAAGTACAACACCTGGCTTTGTCACAGCAGCTATGCCTATAAAAAAAGTTATCACCTGTGTCATTGCTCTGGCTCTCCCTCTGTAGAAATTCCTATTTCCCTCCCTCTGCCTCTTTATTTATTTACTGCATTTTCATCCCGCCCTTTCTTCAAGGACAGGATCAAGGATTTCATTCCACCAACATATTCTCCTCACCACAACCCAGCGACGTAGGCCAACAGATATAGACTGGCCCAGGTTCACCCAGAGAGGCTCGTGGGCTGAATGCAGGCCTGTCTTCACAATTATCCGGCTCTCGTTTAGAAGTTAAGCCCTGTGCCATCACAGGGGTGTACTGTGATGCCAAGTTATTGCCAGGTAAAAAGTCTGCCCTCTTGCATGATCAAAAATATTTGCTTGGGACATAGGAAGTTTGTCTTACACTGAAATAGACCATTGGTCCATATAGCTCAGTATTTAACTACACTGATTGGTAGTGGCTCTCCAGGATTCCTGACTGAGTTATCTCCCAGCTCTACTTTGAATTAAATGCCCCAGCCCCAGCCCTTCTCCAAAAGCTGGATAATGGAAACCCCATGATTTATTTAGCCACTTTCATTCTTCAGAGGGGGAGAAAAATACCCTTTCAAACCCCCAATACACCCAAGAGTCTCCCTACAGCCTGATTCAAAATAAAGCACCAAACAGCTGTTGCTTCACCAACCCATTAAAAAGCCAAAGAGGTCAGCATTTTCCAGCAGCCAAGGAGACCTCAGGAAACAGAAGAAGAAGAAAAAGTCACCAAGACCCAAATTGAAAATGTACAACAGCAATGTCTTGTCAACACTTCTGTACAGAGCACAGGCATGACAGCTAAAACAGACAGAAGAGAAGATGCTTTTGACAGCCAGCGTGCACAAATAATTCTTTTAGAGTCAGATGGCAGCAACAAGTTACCGACTAGAAGATATACTTGACAACCAAACATCCCTCTACACCAAGCGCCATCTGGCTGAGATGACTCCGGCTTCTATGCATGACACAGTTCCAATCGTCAAAGAGTAGCAAAACAAGCAGCCAATCGGCTACTTGCGGAATCAGCTATTGGCCACAAGCTGGAGGGTATGCCAACACAGAATCGAGAACATGGAGTAAAGGTGTGTGTGTGTGTGTGTGTGTGTGTGTGTGTGTTGGGGGAGAGAATAAGAATCAGAGCAAAGTCAACTTGCATGGGTCATCTGAATTCCAAGTTTTCTATGGTTTGTTCCATAGTGTTTATGGTTCTGTACCCAATTCCGGAGGCCAATTGCCAAAGAAGCAGGCTCCCTGCCTTGAGAATAAACCTGGTAAGACTGTGTTGAGTAGGATTTGACAGGATTTTTTATGGTGGAGCTGTGAATCATTATAGAATAACCAGAGCATTAAAAAAAAGGTGGCCAAATAAATTTAAGGTTATTCACTTGTATAGGTGAAAAAAGTGGGATACTGAGGCAAACTTTTATCCCTTTTATCTCCATGAGGAGAAGAGATCAATTTTAAGGTGTTTTTTTTTTTAAATAAAAAGGAATGCAACCACAGAGGTGGCCCTATCCCATTTTTTGAAAAATGAAAACTGAAAATTTAGGGGGGAGTGTGAACTATCCTGGCAGGGCCTCACCTCCAAGACTCCAACACTGTGAGTAAGCAGAGTTTGTACAAAACCCAACAGGGAAGCTTGCAATTGGGAGGAAAGTGTCAGCACTCTTCTCCATTTAAGCCATCAAGTGATGAAGATCGCAAATGTGCTTTAACTACTGCAAGCACTTAGCCTTCAAGGCAAAGGAGACCTGGGTTCAAGTCCATGCTGGGTGACCTTGGGCCAGTCACTACCTTGAAGGTTGTTTTAGGGGTCCAATAGGGAGAGAGAGACAGCACCTAAGAGTGAATTACACTATCCTCCTGCCCGTCCTTAGGCCATTCACCAGCCTAGTGATGGGAAGGAGGGTGTAAATGAAAGCTGTTAAATGTGCTATAAAGGTTAACTTTCAAAGTTGCAAAGCAAAATGACGACAGCCACATTTCAAGGGGAAGTCTGTGGCCACACTCCAAATGGTCTCGACTCCCACCAGTTCCAGTCAGCATGGCCAATGGTTAGGGAGATGAGAATTGGAGTTCAGCAACATCTGGAGGGCCACAGGTCCCCAACCTTGTTTTAAGGGAACAAATATGTGTAGAGGACAGAGTGCAGATCTGATTCCCCTTAGTACAAGGGTGGGGAACCTCAGGTCCAGAGACTAAATGCAGCCTCTCAATTTGGCTCTCAGAACTCTCCCCGGGGCCACAGCCCTCTCTGGCCCTGTTTCAAGTGCCTTTGTCTGGCTGGAATGTGTCTTGGGATGATGCCTCTTGATTGCCGGGAGAGGATGGAGAGGGCCATACATAGAAGATAGCCTATTGGACAAAGGTAAATTGTTGCATTTGCTGCTCCGCCCACTTTAGCCTCTGGCCCCACCCACCACTGGCACACATTGAAGAAGAAGAGGAAGAAGAGTTTGGATTTGATATCCCGCTTTATCACTACCCTAGGGAGTCTCAAAGCGGCTAACATTCTCCTTTCCCTTCCTCCCCCACAACAAACACTCTGTGAGGTGAGTGAGGCTGAGAGACTTCAGAGAAGTGTGACTAGCCCAAGGTCACCCAGCAGCTGCATGTGGAGGAGTGGAGACAAGAACCCAGTTCCCTGGATTACGAATCTACTACTCTTAACCACTACACCACACTGGCTCTCAGTGAGGGGAAGGTTGCCCAGAAGGGAATGTGCCCCCGCATCCCTGCCTTAGCAGGCTCAGCCAATCGGAGCTCAGCCAATCCCAGAAGCGGCAAGAGTTGCCATCTCCTCAGCCATGACACTCTCTGCTTCTGGTGCAGCAAGCAGTCACACAGTCCACTGCCGTAGCTCTCAGCCGTTTCAAGTCCTTAGGTTTTTCAATCTAAGTGCCGGGCCGATTCATCTCTGAGGATTCCTGGAAGGGACGCAGAGCATTAGTGCCGTGCGTCTTGAAAATGCTTGCTGGGGTTGTTACAAAAGGCTCGCCAGCACATTCCTCCTCTTGTCGCCTTAATTATTCAGACAGTGCAGTCAGTTCCAAGCATCCGGAAGCCACAAATGGCTTCCCAGCCCAAAGTGCCTTACATGAAGACAGTCTGGGGAAAAAATAAATCTGGCTCTTTTTAACAATAAATGCTGGTGCTTTTTAAAAGCCTTTTAAATTCTGAATTTTATCAGAAAACGCTGTTTCTGATAGTTAGGAAGAGCTGGTCTGGTTTTTGTTTTAAGTAAGAATTTTTCAAGCTGCTTGGAATTTGGGGTTGCCGGCTGGTTAACTACCCAACAGAACAATCCAGCCAGAGTAAATCTTATTACTGGAGAAATTAAGCCCATGCTTAACTGTCCCCCATGGAAACAAATGGGGTTAGTTCACAGGGTGCATGGCATCCAAGCAATTTTTCTTTTTTGAAATAACGCACCAGCTATATTTAACACGAAAGTGGGGAAGTTCCAAATGACTGCTTCTTTTCGCACTTCCTCTTGCAAAAAGGAGGGACCCTGCTTTGCTTTGCTTCCGGACAGGCACTGCCTGCTTTGGGGAGGGCAACCAGAGAAGCAGTATCTATAATATGCATTTCAAGCCCTCTCCACAGTTAAAAGCTAGTAACAACCTGCACCCCAGACAGCTGCAAAAACCTCAATGTTATGGACAAGAGTAAACAAGCCGCATGGCACAATTTCACACCTGCAAGGAACAGATCACCCCAGATAATTAACAGAATTTCCCTGGCATTATCCAACTGTGTTGACCATTCCTCTTTGTGTGTGAAATCGGGAGTCGACTTTTCTTTGGGAGCCATCAGAAACGTAATCTTAGCCTGTAGCGCTGGACATAAAACAGCCACGTACCTTTTGCTTTAGCTCTTTCACAGCAGAGTCTCTATCCATGCACGCCTGTCTGAAGGCTTCATACGCCTTATTGAGCTGCTCCGCAATATTCTTATCCATGCTTCCTTCCAGCAGTGTCTCATCACTGAAGAAGTTACAAATGCAGCAGACCTGGCTGCGTTACTGAAAAAGGAAAGGGAAGCATTGGTTGCCTACACAGCAGTTTGGCCCAGGGCAAGGAGGACTTTCCCTCAAACTACTTCAACCCAACACTCAGCTGTGACCCAATGTACACCCAAAACACAGCATTAAGTCCTCCAGTGTCCACAATACTTTCTCCACAAATATAGAGAGACGCCAACACAACAGTCATCGGTAAAAGCTACTACTAGGTTGCACCAGTTATTGACCAAAACTTTGCAGTTTGCCGTAGCCACAGACTATTGCTAGCTGCGAAACCAAATCCAATTATCTTTCCTCAGATCTAATACCAAACAAACAAGAACAGCTTCCAGAACATAATTAATTAAATGTGACAAATTTCTAATTTAAACAGAGTCAACTTTGGCACTAGCAGGCTTCTGCTCCCCCCCCCCCCCCACTTTTCTATTTATCATCTAAGGCAAACCATTATGATTATTTAAGGAACCTTTACCAATTTCTACAAGCTACAGAAGCTCGGATCCTTCGGAGGCAGACACATTCCCTTCTGCTGAGACTGCATTTTTTTCCCCAATTAAAAACGGGTTACTAAAAATAAGGATTTCTGCTAGTCGAAGAGATTTAGGCTGCGATTCCAGGCACGTTTACCTGGAAGTAAGCCCTACTGAGTTCAGTGAGACTTATTTCTGAGTAGGCCTCAGTAGTGGCTGGTGTGAGAGGGCAGAGTTGCCTTTCCAACACTGGCATCTCTGTGGAGGGGCAGAGTTGGCAGTGAGGTCAGGGGCTGTGTGGGCACACTTGCAAAGTCAGTCTGGGGCACCTACCCACCCCAACCTCACCAATGCCCCTACCCAGCCTGGTCCTGATAAGCTGCAATGATTCCAGTGCTAGGTGGGCAAGCTGTTAGTGGGAGACATGCTTGGATCTGGATGTCTGCTCCGCCATCTTGCCATCTTTTAACACCTTTTCTTTTCTTAAAATAAATAAATAAATCCCCAGCTGCACTATACACTGGTACCTCAGGTTACATACGCTTCAGGTTACATGCGGTTCAGGTTACAGACTCCGCTAACCCACAAATAGTGCTTCAGGTGAAGAACTTTGCTTCAAGATGAGAACAGAAATCGTGTTCCAGAGGTGCGGCGGCAGCAGGAGGCCCCATTAGCTAAAGTGGTGCTTCAGGTTAAGAACAGTTTCAGGTTAAGAACGGACCTCCGGAACGAATTAAGTACTTAACCCAAGGTACCACTGTACATTTAAAGCAGTGCTATACCACTTTAAACAGTCATGGCTTTCCCCCAAAGAATCCTGGGAAATGAATTTTGTCCAGGCAACTGAGAGTTGTTAGGAGACCCCTATTCCTTTCACAGAGCTACAATACCCAGAGGGGTTTAACAATCTCCCTAGGGAACTCTGAAAACCTAACAAACTACCATTCCCAGGATTCTTTGGGGGAAGCCATGACTGTTAAAAGCAGTATGACACTGCTTAAAATGTACTGTGCAGATGGAGCCAAAGAAAGACAAGTTCAGAATGATGTCAAGGCTACACTATTAACTGGGAGTATATTCCGCTGAACTCCGTGTGACTTATTTTTGAGTAGGCATCTATAGGATTGCCCTGTAAATGCTCTGCGTAGCAAGCAGATTATTTCACGTGCAATTAACCTATTAGTATTTTAAAAGGTTTAGAAATGGCTTGCAATCAGGGTTCCTGGGCCATATAAGACCTGCCTCCAGGCAATGAATTATTTTACAAAAAAAATAACCAAACCCAGAAACACCCCCTGCCATTTAAACCAAAGTAATTTTTCTTATGTACAAGATGGCAAATGGCTACTCAAATCTTGTGGACCTGTAAATCTTGCAGACTTCCTTGCCTGGCTGGAGTTGATATGTGTATCTCATAACTAAAAGCCTAGCTTAGGAAATTGGCCAGGGATAAAACCTCCCTTAAGCTGTTCTTGGCGAAGTGAGCTTCTGTTGCTGAAGGGAGACAGAGGACAAGTCAGTTTCGCTCTTCCTGAGGAGCACGTGCCAGTTAAATGCAAGGAACCAGCCAAACAAACAAACACCCACACAGGCAGAGTGATATTTCCTCAACTCTAAAGCTGCCTGCCCTAGAAGGTGAAGATGGGGGTTAGGTTGGATTGGATATTATCTCTGTAAATTATGTTGGGTCTCCTCTTGTGTGAAGCTATACATATATTAAACAAAACATCTACAGTGGTACCTCGGGTTAAGTACTTAATTCGTTCCGGAGGTCCATTTTTAACCTGAAACTGTTCTTAACCTGAAGCACCACTTTAGCTAATGGGGCCTCCAGCTGCCGCCGCGCCACCAGAGCACGATTTCTGTTCTCATCCTGAAGCAAAGTTCTTAACCTGAGGTACTATTTCTGGGTTAGCGGAGTCTGTAACCTGAAGCGTATGTAACCTGAAGTGTATGTTACCTGAGGTACCACTGTACAGCAAAAAAAAATCCATTATAATGAGACAGGTATACTGTAACTGCCTACCCGACATGATAAAATAAACCACATGCCCACACGTACATCTGAACAACAAAAGTAAAACACCCCAAAGTCAGGCCATTTTTACTGTCCAAATGCCTGGCAGAATAAAAACACATTTGCCTGGCACCAGACAGAAACAAAGTCTGTGCCAGGCAAGACTTCCTGGTGAGGCCATTCCACAGTCTGGGATGGGGGCAAAGGCTGTGGTTAGCAAACATTATTATAGCATCCTACCTTTCCTACCAAGGAACTCGGGGCAACTCAGCCACATTAGTAAATCAAGAGGGGGAATGAGATAGAACCCGATGTTGGCAAGAATGTTAACCCCTCCCTCCTCTGCCATGTGTTTGTGGATTTAGCATGAAGGGAGATGATGGTCAGAAGCTCTTCTTCCTATCAATGCCAAATATGCAGCCTTGGCATGATCCTAGGATCCAGTTGCTGGTGCGATTGTCCAAACACATCCCCAGTGACTTGTCAAAAGTCAACTAGCAATTTGCACGGAGACCTGCTGAATTACTTCACCCCAATTGTACCACACTACTCTGGGTACCACACCCAGGGCAGACCATGTTAATCTTACAGCACCACTACCCCTGGATTGAGGAAGGCATGCTTCATTTTATCTTGCTACCGTTCTCTCCTGATGCTCTAGCAGCCAGTTTCCACACTCTGGTCAGATTTCGCAGCTTAGAATCATAGAACTGTAGAGATAGAAGGCACCCCAAGGGTCATCTAGTTCAACCCCCTGCAATGCAGGAACCTGACCAGGCAATGTTTGAGGGCAGCTATTTGTTTCACATATGTGGCCATTGTTGTCATGGTGCTTTTTCCCTGCAAACTCTGAGCATTCAAGTAAGGCAGAATCCGAATGCTTAGGCTACTGTGTCCATGTTTGTTGCCTTTAACCCAGGGGTGAGAGCTCATCCTCTCCTAACACAAATGCAGACCAAGGCATGGCATACAGGTTACTCAGGTAAGGAAGGTTACAAAACCGCCTAGGCTTGAGACAGAATTACAGTGGTACCTCGGGTTAAGAACTTAATTCATTCTGGAGGTCCGTTCTTAACCTGAAACTGTTCTTAACCTGAAGCACCACTTTAGCTAATGGGGCCTCCCATTGCCGGAGCACGATTTCTGTTCTCATCCTGAAGCAAAGTTCTTAACTCGAGGTACTATTTCTGGGTTAGCAGAGTCTGTAACCTGAAGCGTCTGTAACCCGAGGTACCACTGTAATCACTGTACCATCACTGAACACCAAGAGTTTTGACGTTAATGCATGCCCTGAAAGCACGCTCTTCCAACGAAAGATTTAAAAATTTCAGAAGAGAAAACACCGTTCTTTACTCATCACTCAAGTCACTACATATTGTTTCTCCCTGAAAGCTTCTGCACACAAAACAGTGGCGATGTCCCAAGACGTTTTGATGTCTGGAGTTCAAAAATACAAACAGGGCCCCCTTGGTGGTGAGAACATCACCGTATCAGGTAGGACCAGCCTTGCTCATTCCTAGCATTCTTTCGGTATTATTAGAAAGTTAAATTTTAGGAAATCATTTGGGAGTGGGGGAGGGGAAAGAATCCTCAATCCAGGAGCAGCAACGGAGGATATGGTTTTAAAAACTGCAGGTGGGCTTAGAAGTTTAGCCCTATCTCAGGTGTTCTAATAAAGTTTTGACGAAGCACATGGGCGAGGGGCGCTGTGAGGACAACCCGGCTAACTCATCTTCATATACTCTAACTATATTTTCTTCATGTTTTGGAACCATGATTTTCCACAGTTCTTAAGTGCACAGGGACCCTAGGGAGGAAGGTGATGAAAACAAAGACAGGAGTGGGCGGAGCTAGAGTTCTCATTCCTACACTCCCCACCCACCTCGTGCATTTAGTCGACACATTAGAACGCCCAACTGGAGCTTTCCTTTACAGTGGTACCTCAGGTTACATACACTTCAGGTTACAGACTTTGCTAACCCAGAAATATTACCTCGGGTTAAGAACTTTGCTTCAGGATGAGAACAGAAATCGTGATCCGGTGGCGTGGCAGCAGCAGCGGGAGGCCCCATTAGCTAAAGTGATACCTCAGGTTAAGAACAGTTTCAGGTTGAGAACGGACCTCCGGAACGAATTAAGTTCTTAACCCGAGGTTCTTTCTTTCTTTCTGGAAGTGAACAGTTTGGGTCAGCTCTATACATGTAAAAAGCATAATTTCAAAATCTCAAGTATCTTGATAAGTGTGCTGTGTTGTTTGCATACTTACATAATATACTTTGAAGCTTACTTTTTCACCTTTTCTGCAATTACACTGAAGATGCCTACGCACTGTTTAGCAAACTGTTGCAAGTTATGTCTTGCAGAATTTTTTTTAAATACTGTAAAACCAAGTGTCATGATTGGCTACAGTGAAGTTTAGAACCTGCTTTTCCAACCTCACTTACAAGGAAAAACAGAGAAACCAGTGGGTGGCCCAAATGCATGCATCTAATGTCTGGATTGAAAAACAATATTTTTTTGTTTACTTATTCCAAGGACAGCATTCAGTGGGATAGTCAACCTCAGGACAATCCTTAACGTTCTTTTAAAAACATTTTCTAAAACTCTGTTAGGGTTAGAGATGTTTCTGAGATGGACTGTGTTGCAAGAAATTAGATTTCTTGCAACACAAGGATATACAAACAAAGCTTTAGGCAGACAAGTCTGCATTTCTTAAAGCATCAAATTGATACAGACCATTTGCAAACGCTCTGGCAGGAATAGCAAAAGTGATCTTGAACCATGTCATCTTCTCTCAGTGAAGTTTTTTCATAGTTCCCCTGGAATTAAGCTTTTGGTCCTGCAAGAAAGAAGTGCCACAGGTTCAGATTCTCCATAGGAAGCTGCCTTACATGGAGTCAGGAATGGGGTTTGGATGAGGATGCCGGTCTCTTCCAGAACAGAGGAGTACCACTGGGACAATGGGCCTGTTTCTCTCTCCACTCTGGCTGGAGGCCCCTGTCAGGAGGAAAGCCACTGTCAACAGGTCTCTCCGCCAATGGCACCAAGTGGGACGCCATAGAACAACTTTAATACCCCCCATCCCACCCCCTGAGAGGCACAATCCTCAGGCCACTTAGCTATGCCAACCTGGAGAAAGTTTAGAGAAGTGGAAGAACTGTCTCACCCACCACCACAACCACCTTCTGCCCTGGCCAGCAACGATGGATCCTGCTACATCACTCCTCCTCAGTCCCATGTTAGGACTGCTCCGTAAATGTGCACAGGGTTGCAGCCCGAGAGAGCAAACCTGTGCCTGTCTCCTCTAAGTCAATCCCACTGTCTTGCTCCCTGGAATGTGCATTTAGGATTGCAAACCTGTCAGCTGAACACAGAAGTTCAAGCTTGATCTTCTATTTACAACTTTCCATCAACATCACTGTAAATGTTTCCATAGCATGTTTTTCCTGTCCTCAGCTAGTGAAAAAACAAACAAAACCCCCCTCCAATATAGAGTAAGGCATGCAGCCCCACTGATTTCAATAGGACTTAACCCCAAACTACTCTGCACAGGCTGCATCCTTAGGGAGACTCCGGACACCAGAGCTTGTGCGAAGAATGGAAATGTTAAAGAGACCCATGCTGCTGTTTTTGTACCTCACTGTGGAAAATGAGGCCTACTACATCTCACTACAGTCAACCTCACCCCCTTCCCAAAGCAAGGCCGTGTAGCCATCAGCAATCCAGGTCAGTGGGATACATCAAAAAGTGGACATAGGGCAAAAAAGAGAAAGCAATGATTGAAGCAGGCCAACCCACTCAATATAAGGGAAGAAAAGCACTTCTAATCTGATCTTAATTATAGTGACCAGTTAGCCCCCAAACTAAATCAGGGGTAGGCAGAAGGTGGAACTTATCTACTAAATAATCTCTGGGTGATAAGCAAGGACTGATGACCTCAAGTTGTTCACAATAGTAGCAAAAAAAAAAAAAAAAAAAGTTTCCTTCTTTCACACCTTAAACTATGTACAGTGGTACCTCGGGTTAAGAACTTAATTAGTTCTGGAGGTCCGTTCTTAACCTGAAACTGTTCTTAACCTGAAGCACCACTTTAGCTAATGGGGCCTCCTGCTGCTGCCGCGCCACCGGAGCACGATTTCTGTTCTCATCCTGAAGCAAAGTTCTTAACCCGAGGTAATATATCTGGGTTAGCAGAGTCTGTAACCTGAAGCGTATATAACCTGAAGCGTATGTAACCCGAGGTACCACTGTATTTAATATTTTAGGTTATTTACTCCATTTATGTCACATCTTTCCTCCAAGGAACTCACGATGGTGTACACGCTTCTCTTCCTCCCCATTTCATCCTCACAACACCCCTGTGAGGTAGGGTTAGGTTGAAAGATAGCAACTGGCCCAAGATCACCTAGAGAGCTTTGTGGGCGAGTCATGATTGGAAACCTGGCCTTCCAGGTCCCAACCGGACAGAGTTGGGGACTACAATGCAGTCAGCAGACCCCCCCCACTTGTCAATCATTACCATGACATCAGGGGAGCCAACTTCAAATGAAAGATACTCAGGACGAATTCAGAATTCTTCCATTCTAAGTGTTTGTCTTTCATCTTGTCAGTGGACCTGTCCACTTTTACAGTCTTCCACTCCGGATTCTAGTTCCAGTTGTGAGCGATAAGGTGAAGGAGAAAGGGGGATGGGAGGCACACTTGATGTCATCTGAGCTCACAAGAGATGAACGTGATTTTCTCACAGGGCTTTTGCACAAAACAGCCTCGAAAACAACCAACAGGAAGCTTTCCCTGTCCCTTGCCCTTCTGTTCCTGTGAAGGGCACACACACATTAAAACACCCAATTCCTTTTCTCTTACTTAAGGGGCCAACCCAGAATCCACCCAGTCCTTTCTTGTTCCAGGTGCAGCTGGCTCTGGACAGAAACAGCCACCTAAACGCCTCCCTATCCCTCTGTTTGCATGCGTGTGTTTTCTTCCTCCCTAGGCACTTCCGCCCTTCTAAGGAAATGCATGAGCGACAGACGCACTGAAAGTAGCCCTTCAAACTTCTTCAGGCCGAGTTAGTGAGCAGAAAGACGCCGGGAAGTTTTTATTGGGGGGGGGGGGGCGCGCGGAGAAGAAAAATCAACACTAGTTAGGCGGCATTCCCATGCACACTGAGTTTGGGAGCAGATCCCTCCGACTAAATCCAGGCTTACAAAAAGAAAAGAGGAAAGAAAGTAAACAAGTTTATGATCGCGCCGTTTTGAGAAACACACGCCAGCTTTTCTGAGATGCGGCTGAGCACCACACTTTTTTTGCTGCGGAAATGCTCGCAGAGGGTTAAAGGAGGGCAAGGGACAACTACAAAAAGAAGGTGAAGTATCTAGCAATAGCTGGTAACAGAGAGGAGAAGGGCGATCGCCCTCGTTTGCTTAGCCTGGGATACAGCGGGCTACTTACAAAGGCAAGGAAACTCACGGATTTCGCAGCCACCTCCGCTCTGCTCGCCTCTCCAAGCGCCCGGGCGCAAAGCGGCGGCCCTGACGCGCAACCCAGGAACCACAATCCACTTCCTGCTGCCTTCCGCGGGCCATGTGACTGGGCGCGTAAAATTGCGCGCGGCGCCTCCGAGATCGCCTTGCTCAAGCGGGGTCAGCGGGGTGAGGTCCCAGAGCCGGTCCCCGCCCATCTAGGGCCGCCTCCTCTACACCCCTTGCCCCTTTCCACGGGCCAGATCCCCCGCTGCTGCTGCCTTCGCCCAAGAAAAAGAAGAGGGCGACTGCCTGGCTGCTCCTGGCCGCAGTCCGCACACCGCTGGCTGCTTTCCAGTCCTTTCCCTGCGTCTCCTCCCTTCTAGCCAAGTTAGTCGGACCCGATCCAAGACCGCCTGGAAAGCGTGGAGGCGAAAGTGCATTGTTTGCCCCCTTGCTCTTGAGTCAGGGGTGGATGCAGCCCAGGCGCTTCGTTCTTGGCTGTTGGCCCTTCTGGCTGGGGCAGATGAGAGTGAGTTCATTGACATCTGGAAGGCCCAGGTGTCTGGAAGTTCCCCTGCAGTGCTGTGCAGAGGAGAGCCTGCTAGGCTCAGTCCTAACTGATGCACCGTCCAAAAGGGAACAGAGAAGAAGAAGAAAAAAGAAGGGAGATGTGGGTTGGGGAACCAACATCTGGAGGCCACACATACCCACCCTTGCTATGTAGTGCAGAGATGTAATTATGCCCTGGTGGGATTTGAAACGGGGTTACTTGCTTGCTTCCTGCTCAGTTGTTGCTCCCCGCACCATCCTTGCAACTGTTTGACCAGCCAGATGAGTCTTGATTTGCCTCATTGCAACAGAGAGCTCATCAGAGCTCATACGGCCCAGTGACACTACTGCACTAGACTTCAGCAGGTGGGTTGGGACCCATTACTGGGCTACATCATAATCCAAAATGGGTTGGAACATTAGCACTACCAACAGATGGTTTTAAAAAATTAATTAATGGGTTCCCAAATGCATGCACAATCCGCCATAATTGGCATAGTTTCTCTAGTTGTTTGAGAAAAGTTTAAAGACATTTCCTTCTTGGTGTCTTGACAGTAGCACATGGTGCTTTCTGTATAGTGGTACCTCGGGTTAAGAACTTAATTCGTTCTGGAGGTCCGTTCTTAACCTGAAACTGTTCTTAACCTGAGGTACCACTTTAGCTAATCGGGCCTCCTGTTGCAACCACGCCGCCAGAGCACAATTTCTGTTCTCATCCTGAAGTAAAGTCCTTAACCTGAGGTACTATTTCTGGGTTGGCGGCATCTGTAACCTGAAGCGTCTGTAACCCGAGGTACCACTGTATATATATAAAAAAATACATTTGGGATGGAACTCATTAATAGCCCATCCTCTATCCACATTTTCAAACACTAGATGGCCCACATCAAGTGGATAAATGTCTCCTACCCCACAAAAACTCTTCTGTCTAATAATGGTAACATCATCCATCTTACATGAAGCAAAAATAAAATAATGTCCAACATTCTATCTAGTAAAATCCAGGTCCTAATATAAACATTCATAATTCAGATACAGAGGTTTAGGCATGTGCTGTCTCTCTTATCAAGATCAATGGGAGTCCAAGGTACAGTGCAGCTTTAACTAGGTGGCATCCATAGTCAACTTACAGTATTTTCCCATCTATAAGACGCCCCCTATTTTTGGGGACTCAGCTTTAAGAAAATGGGGGGAGATGGCTCCGTGTATAAGACGCCCCCTAATTTTTGACATTATTTTTTAGGAAAAAACCCAAGTCTTCTACATGGAAAAATATGGTACATGTTGACTTAGAAGTAAGTACCAAAGCAGTGGGGGCTTAGTTTCGGGTGAAGTATGCATAGGAGTACAGTCTTACTTTAGTATGATGAATGTGAGTAAAGTGATGATTTTTTTGCACTCATCTGTACCTGTCCACCACGGTAGTTATATAACAAAAATGGTTGGAATGGTATAATTTAGGCCCTTATGATGCCAGATGATTGACAGGTTGGTGTTTCTGCCTAGCTGTCAAACTTAGCCCATAGGAGATAAAGATCCGGTGCTCTGGGCCAAAAAGGCTCCCCAATCCCTGCCTTAGGGAGAGTGGTAGGACAAATCTCTAACTTGCTTCTTCCCACCAACGATTGAGCATAATCCATTGGCAAGTTCTCTTGTGCCAGCCCCCTTGTAACAATTGGGAGTAGTACAATAAATCTGACAGTGCTTCCCGATGGGTTGTGCCTAGTATAATGTTAGTAAAGGGTAAAGGGGACCCCTGACCATTAGGTCCAGTCGTGACCGACTCTGGGGTTGCGGCGCTCATCTCACTTTATTGGCCAGCATGACTAAGCCACTTCTGGCGAACCAGAGCAGCGCACGGAAACGCCGTTTACCTTCCCGCCAGAGCGGTACCTATTTATCTACTTGCACTTTGACGTGCTTTCCCTGACAGGAACAGGGACCGAGCAACGGGAGCTCACCCCGTCGCTGGGATTCGTTACATCTGCATTAAAAGCTCAGTATTATTATAGATGTTCCCCTAGTACTAAATCACTGTAAAATATCATTACTAATCCTAGTCCAGGGATGTGCTGTTATTATGGGATGGGTTGTACTTCTCCATCACTGTTAAAATGTGTGTGTTTTTAAAAAGTGTTTCTTGAGCAGAAGCAATTTATAGGACAGCTGTGCACACGTCAAGTGCAGTGTTAGTGAGACCTCAACCACCAACCACCTTAATTTTCCAGGGGTATCTCTATGTATAAATTATCATGTGATAGTTTTATGTACATTTGTGTCACGGGCTTGGTCCTCTAGTTTTTTAAGTACCTAGCAAGACCCCTGTGCTCTAGTACTAAACTACCATAAGGCACCACCATAAAAACAGCACACAAATCACGTCCACAGTGTTATGCATGATTGTACCAGAATTGTGATGACTGAGCAGAACACATATATAAGTCTCAGTGCTAGAGGATGAGTAAAATTTGATTCCAATGGAGACCCACAGGAAGTTCATGTTAGGAGGAGAAGGGATATATGCAGTCTTAACAAAAATCATTATAACTTGTTTAAAGCAGAGAATGGATTTACCCAGGCAACCTATTGAATTTTAACATGCTATATTTGTGAGGCTGCTGTCAATGCACAGCCCCAGCTGTGTTTACTGAAAAGTAAATCCACTAAATTCAATGGGACTTCCTTCCGAGTCAAATGTGTTTAAGACTGCAACCTCATTTTCATAGCCTATGGGTGGGCACAAAGGTTAAGAATCAAAAGACGAGCCCAACTTTAATTACTTAAACAGAAGCACCAGATCAGTTAAAATTAATATTAGAATTATAGATCCCATGCCCTTTCTTCAAAATAGCGATTTGATACAAGGCAGCTTCACACCGTATATTTCAGCAGCGCCAAACAGTCTTTGTTTATGGGTTATATACAAAGAAATATTTTGGTTACCTTGTACGTAATCTCTTGATGAACCTTTTAATTTTGCCTCCGTTCCTAATAATAACAAAGTAGATAATGTTCACAGAATCGGAAAGCTTTCTCCCCAGTAACTTAAGAAAAGTACAACTCATGCAGTGTCCTGTTTGGTTTATGACTGACGTTAGATGGGAACTTCCACTGAGAAATCCCCCACTTGAGAACTTCCTTGTATGTAGCCACAGACAGCCAATCATTATGAAACATGTTCTCTCTAAATGAGAATTTAAAGTGAAAACAAGCTGTAAGTAGACAACTCTAGACCAGGAAAGAATCTCATGCACTTCAGAAAGGCCACACATAACAGCAGTGCAGTAGTACAGAGGAATTACCCCACCCCCTAAATATATGCATTATCAAAGTAATCACAATGCTCTCCAAATCAGACAACAGGGAAATAATAATTATATATTAAGGTCAGATTCACATATTACATGTTAAAACCTGCAAGTACTTGTAGACGACATTTTGGAATATGTGATACTAAAAACCTCGATGCAAACTTTATTTCTGCAGTGCTACGTTTGCCAAGGGTTCATTCACACATGCAAGTCTTCATTTGATGTTACTGCCAGCAAGTGATGAACATGAATGTGTGAATTACATTTCGTGGGAAATGGCACCTTTCCTTTAGCACATGTAAGACGGTGAAGGTGTTCTAAATTAACATAGTGAGAATAGCTCAGTTGGATATCTTGTATAGCTCAGTTGGTTAGTGTGTGGTGCTGATAACACCAAGGTTGCAAGTTTGAGCCCTGAATGGCAGAATTTTCAGGCTTTTTGAGTCCACAGCTCCCTTGACCAGTGACATTCTTTCTGTGGCACCCTGTGGGGCTCAGGAGCCCAGTTATGTCACCCTTTGCCTGCAGAGCTGGCAGCCTCTCGCCTTTTTTTGAACACCCTCCCTTGTGGAGTGTTCCCTTGGCCTCCTCTCCTCTTCCTTCTCCTTGGGAGTCCTCTGGGCAGCTGCTGCTGCTGCCCTTGATCTCTGAGCTCGACCCCCCGCCCCAAAGAGAGGTGCCTCCTCACACTGCCCCATAGGGACATGGGATGTGTCTGTCCATTCCCAACAGCAAGGGCTGGTAGACTGGCTGGCTGGGCTTTTTCGCCCGCTTGCTTACTCTTAGGCCGCATCAGCTCCTGCAACCAGCACCCCCTGGCCAGCCCCAGAGGCACCACTCGCCTGGGGAGCTTGTAGCCAGGGCTGCTGCAACAAACAGCTGTGCAAGCCTTTGGGAGGCAGAGATGTGAGAGGGCATAAGGAAAGAAAGAGGGACATAGGCCAGGGTGCCATGACACGCTGGTTGAAAACCACTGCCATATGGGATAGCTGCATAGTCCTGCCTTGCAGGGGGTTGGACTCGATGATCCTCAGGATCCCTTCCAACTCTACAACTCTATGATATCTCAGGGTGGGGGGAAAGAGACTGTAAATGAAAACAAAGTCCACACTTTGCATTTTTTCTTTTTTACCAACCCTTCAATCTGAGCACCTGGACGCAACTCCCAAATTGGTCAGTTCAGATATATAGTGCATTTGGATTTGTTAGACATTCTTGGTGGCATTTCAAAGTCAGACAATGCTCCTGCTCTTTATATTGTTGGGTATAGAAGGAGTCTTCCTTTGGAATTGTTTAAACATGTAAAATCTGTTTCTTTGAGATTTTTGAGTGGTTACTGCTTTTTTCTGTCTATTTGATTGCAACCGGATCATCGGGCCTACTGGCAATTGTTTAAATTGGCAGGCAGCCCAACATTGCAATTCTTTTGAAGATTTAGGGTTTGGAAAATAGCAACTGTTTGGCTCTTCAGTGGTGGGTCTCCAGGTTATGGTAATTTTCACCTTGCCTCTCCTGTCTCCTCTGCCGAAGATGTTTTCGCACATTAAAAGCCTCTCTTGCATGATTTGTGCATTTAAATGTCCATGTGGAGGAAAGCCATTTAAAAATCTAATATGCATCCTGGCCAATATAGACTTCAAATTTACATTACAGTTCTGGGAAATGAAAAAGCCATTAAAACCTCCTCTGTGTTTTATTTTGGTTTTTTTTAAAAAAGTGGGGGTGGGGAACCAGTAATAAGGTGGAGCACACTTTGAATAAGCCCTATATTGCTTCCAGAAGGTACTAATGCTTGGCCCCTTCCAGGGCACAGAAGATGCCTTATATGTCGCCATGGTTCAGAATTAGTCCTGGAGGAAATCACCAAGAGGCCACTTTTAGCTGACAATGGATATTGCAGTACACATCATTTGAATGCACACAACATTTGAATGGTTATATACTGTATTGTTTTGTCAGCCAAATATATATATTGGCAACCCAAGCAGATGGCTGGGTTGAGATGCTGATGGTGATGATTAGTACAGTGGTACCTTGGTTTACGAACTTAATCCGTTCTGGAAGTCCGTTCTTAAATCAAAGCGTACTTAAAACAAGGCGTGCTTTCCCATAGCAGCGGAAGCAGAACATGTTCTGCTTCTAAAACAAAGTTCACAAACCAAAACACCTACTTCCGGGTTTGCAGCGTTCTTAATCCAAGTTGTTCATAAACTACCGTAAGCTGTTCTTAAACCAAGGTACCACTGTAGTAGTATTGAATAGGATGCCCCAATTTTCATTGGAGAAATGTTGGAGGGTATGAGATTCTGGTGGTGGCTAACAACATGTCTAAAACAATAATATCATAAAATCATGGGCTAATCTAAAACAAATGAAAATATAATTGATTGGTGAAGAAGTCATGGTGCAGTGTGTTGGTGTAAAGCCTTGCTGATTTTTTTAAAGGCCTAAATGAGTGCTCACATGTAGAACGCTAGGGGATTAAAAAAATAAAATGGGTATGGGTATGAACAGTGCTGGCTCCAAGATTTTAGGGGCCCTCAGGCATGGCACCCTCAGTATCGCCACTTTACCTGGAAGCTCTGTTGGGAAACTTTGTTGTTTCTGAACTACAATAGCATAGCTGGGTACGTGGCAACCCACGGTGGAAATGAATTTCCTGTTTGGAGATTTTGCAAAAAAAGAAAGGGGGAAAAAAGAGAGCAAAAGCTCAACAACTTTTGTGTCTGGATTTTCACATATTTTTATGAAAAATGGCAACCCAACCAAAACTACTCTGTCCCCTGCCACAGGTAGGATGCAAGAAAAAACGCATTTCAGGTTTATTGTGTGCTGATGAAATGCAACAGCCCTTTAACAGATGCTAAATTGTTCGTCTGGAAGGCTTTAAGAGCTTTTTGCTGGGACAAGTATTGTGCAGCTGCTTATGAGTAGCTGTCTTCTACAGTATATCTAAGCAGACTATAGACAAAGTTATCTAGAACATCTCCATCTTTGCCAGAATGAGCTTCTGAAGACTGACCTACTTACCTGGAGGGTAGATAGTGCCAATCCCCATAAGGATGTACCCGTTTCCAGTGGTAAATGTGAAACAATGGGGCTGATGAGTCACACTAGCAGAAGCCCATACAGTGGTACCTTGGGTTACATACGCTTCAGGTTACATACGCTTCATGTTACAGACTCTGCTAACCCAGAAACAGTACCTCGGGTTAAGAACTTTGCTTCAGGAGGGAACAGAAATCGTGCTCTGGAGGTGCGGCAGCAGCAGGAGGCCCCATTAGCTAAAGTGGTGCTTCAGGTTAAGAACAGTTTCAGGTTAAGAACAGACCTCCGGAACGAATTAAGTACTTAACCCGAGGTACCACTGTACTGTACAAGGATCTCCATTAGCACAACAGCAGCCATCCAAGCCAGTTGAGATTCTGAACTGTAAAAATTGTTACAATGGCAAATGCAGTATAATAAATAGAGATTTCACTATATAAATAAAGGTGTCTCGCTGATTGAACTATGGATTATTCATAAACATGAGAACCCTGCCCAAGGTAATTTGTCTTTTTACATACAGTATTTGCATAAAGGTCTGCAAAAGAGGAAGAATTGTGAACATGCCTCAACACATTTGTTGAGTAAATGTCTTCTTTGTTGAAGGGGTTTGAGTATGTTTTGTTTGGTGCTAGGCAGCCAGTTGCTTAGCCATCCATAGATCTTCAAAATATATTCTAGATAAATGCTATGCAGAAATTTCACTAGGCTTAGTGACTTTCACACAGCTGCACAGTTCGGGGGTGGTGTGGGGGAGCTGTGGCGGAGAATAGAGAATAGAGAGTTTCTTCACAAGCAGCCTTCCAGTCAGATCAGTTTCATCAACATAAAAAGTTAATCACTTAATTTCTCAAGCAGTCATCATGCAATTTCCATATTTCATTCCCAGACTAAGTGAGGAGAAAACAACAATCAGTGGAATTAGAGATTTCCTATAATTACTTGATTCTGGACAGAAGGTTTTGCAAGTGACAAGCAAGTGTGCTTCATGCTCTCAGCAGCAGAGAGCTGCCACGGCTTTGAAATTGCAAACCATACCAGCTGCAGCTCTCTAGGGCAAATACTGTAAAATCAGCTGTGATTTGTGTCACCGCAATTGTGGGAAGGGCAATTGTGGTGGATATGCTCTAAAGACTTTTACCTTCCTTGACGTTTGCAAAAAAATGATAGAAGTAGTCATGATCTAGATCCATTGCTTTCAAGTGTATGTTCACAGCTACAAGTCCTAACCTGTGTGTCTCTTGCAACCCTTGGGGTGAAGGGAGTACAGTATTTTGTGTCATGAGAATACTCCTGCCTGCCCCAACTCCTGCGATTGATGACTGTGTTTTATACATGCAGCTGTCTTTTCTTAATCATTGTATTATTGCATATTTTACTTGCTTGTAAATCACTCTGGGACTTTTTAGTGGGAAGTGGTATAGGCCCTACATATTTAATAAACCTACTTTAATAAACCTAGCTTAAGCACCCAAGATATTACAAAGCTAGCAAATATCAGAGTGTCACTGTTTTGTTACATGATTGCTTATGGCATGATAATTTTGCAGCACGGTCATTTATATTTTATGATCTTTTAGGAATTCACAATGGTTTGAAATTGTGACTGTCTTAACTGGGATCTTTGGCTTTCAGTGGTGAATAATTCCATCATTGCATGGGTCACCTGCAAGGAACTGGGACTGTGCTGACCCCCAATGATAGAACCAGGTTTGCTAGGATCCACACAGGTTGCGGAATCCAAAAGAAGGAATGAGCCACAAAACAATGAGCTGCTTGCTACCTATTTCTTGCAGTTATTTCCCCGTCCCCATTTCCGGTTTAAACCAGACATAGGGGAAGATGCCATCTGGGCAAGCCCTTCGCAAAGGAAAATCACACACACACACACACACACACACACACACACACACACAAACGTTTGCCTGGCACAAGTTCAATATCTTTTCCTCGCCAGCTGTTAAAGTCATTTTCATATCTCTTGCTGCTTTCTTCCAAGTGAAAACACACCTGTTATTCTAACGCAGTACTCATTTTCTGTTGGCTGCCTACATTCAAGAGATGCAAGGGCATCTTTATGTGAGGCACACAGAACGGATCGTCTGATTTTCTTATTTTTCTTATTCAAAAGAGCTAGGAAATGAAATGAGAAGAATGGAAAGGAAGGAGGGTGTATCCGCTGTAGCTTGTATTCTTCAGAGACTGGAGGCTCACACACTGACAGCAGATAAGAATGAATGCTCCCTTATTACTGCTGTGCCAAACATTTCCCCTGCGTTCCCTCCCGCCGCTGCCCACCTCAAGCATTCTTCACCAATTTATGAGAAAAGAAATTGCATCTGAAAATTATGAATGAGGAGATAAAATTTCAGAAAAATTC